ACGGTTTCAGCCCAAAAAGGAAACAGTTACTATTTGCATTCACTCGGGATTGGAGATGGGCCAGGGCTTTTTCCTTAAAATTCATCAGAGTTCCTGTATTGAGTATCTAAATGTAGGGCAGTTAGGTGGTGCAAGACACGGTCCTCTCCTTCAAAGTACTTAAAGTAGTAGGTTCATAAGACCCGATCATCAAGCAATAAGCATTTATTTAGTACCTACTATTTGCTCTGTGCTCAATTACTGGGGGATACAATGGAAAACAGCTGTCTCTTGCCTTCAAAGAACTTACACTCTTAGACTAATACAATAACTGTAATGTTGTTACTGTGCTTTGTTAGAGGTAGGAGGGAAAAAGTGGTGAGAGGTCTGAGGTGGAGGAGGGAAGTTCCAGGAGACTATTTTGGTCCCAGGATTTTCACTTTTCCATTAAGTGTTTAAACCTTCATTGACTTCTTAACTCCCAGGCTGAATAACCCCCTCAGGGACGTTCTGAAAGGGTCTTGGGGAACCTCTGAGTTTTGTTGTCATATTTTGAAAAGCTTTGCTCTAGTCATTCTCTAGCTCCATTCAAAAATAAATTCCTATGTGTAGAACATTACTCAGACACTGAGATAGGACAAAGTTTAGTTAAGCTATAGTTCTTGCACCTGTGGAATTAACTGCCTAAGGAGATAAGACTACCACATACCATGTAATGACAATTATAATTAGATGCATTGAAGAGCTGTAAAAACAAGATAACTTGTGAATTCTAAGGATGGATGATGCGGTGATAGGCACACTAGTACATTGTTGGTAGAGGGACAACAACAAGAATAATCAGTACAACCACTTTGGAAAGCAATTTGGAATTACAAATAAAGTGATTAAAATATCTGTCCATATTCTGACCCAGAGAGTATGTTACTAGACTAATATCCCAAGGAGGTCATTGATAAGAAGAAAGTCTCCATATGTATCAAAATATTTGTAGCAGTGCTTTTCACATATCTGTTGTTTATATTTCTTGAATACCAACTCCTTACTTGAGAAATTTGATTAAAAGATTGTGTTCCCATTTAACTACTTCTTGTCTTATTCTGGTGCATTAATTTTGTTTGTGCAGAGGTACTTCACTTTTATGTAATTAAAATTAAAAAATGTAAAAACAAATTAAAAATAAATCTCCAACTCATAGTTGTGAAAGGTAAATTTATCTTCTCTTCTAGCTTTTTAATGGTATGGTATATCTTTAATATTTTGGTCACATCCAGTTAGACTTTATTGTGGAATATGGCAAACGTGTTGGTCTCTGCTAAAGTATAATTTCTTCTAAGCTTCTTTCCAGTTTTCTACAACAAATTTTTTTTAATCAAACAGGTAATTTTTAAAAATGATATGTTTTCTGGTTTGTTGAACACTGGCTTATTGGGTTCCATTGTTTTTTATTTTCCCCTGCCTAGTTTATTCCATTGGTCTCTAGATAGTTTTGGTGCCAAATACTTTTGGTGACTGTTACTCTTATAATATAGTTTAAGGTCTGAAAGTGCTCATTCCACCTTCAATTCTGCTGCTTGATTGTTTCCTTTGATATTATAGATATTTTATTTCTCCAAATGAATTGTTATTCTGTAGAATTGGTATAGTATTAAAAGTAAATTAATTTTTATACTACTGTCATTTAATAAAATTGATAATAATATTGTTATTGACAACATTATTATATTGAATTATAGTATAACCATGACGCTAAATATTCCTCTAGCAATTTTTTTGTTGTCAAGTCATTTCAGTTGTGTTTGACTTTTCCTGACCCCATTTGGGGTTTTCTTGGCAGAGATCCTGGAGTGGTTTAGCATTTCGTTCTTCAGCTTATTTTACAGAAGAGAAGACTGAGGCAAGCAGGTTAAGTAACTTGCCCATGGTCACACGGGTAGTAAGTATCTTAGCCAGTTTTTGAACAAAGATCCTCCTGACTCCAGGGCCAGTGCTCTATCCATTGTTTGACCCACTTGCCCACCTTGCACCAGCTATGGTCTTTATTCTTTTAAGGACCACTTTGTAATTGAATGTATACAAGTGTTTTATGTTCTTTGATTGGTCCCTCAAATATTTTATCCATTTTGTCATTATTTTGAACAATATTTCCCTTTCTGTTATTGCCTCTTGGATTTGTCATCATGTAGAAATGCTATTATTTTTATAGGCTTATTTTGTAGACTGCAACCTTGCAGCATACCTTAATATCAATTCAGTATTTTCTCATATTCTGTCACTATAAGATTGTAAATGATAGTGACTTAATTAAATAAAAAATACTGGCCATTTAAAGATCACAGAAGGGATAATTGCTTTCAAGCAGCTTCCCTTCTTATTGGGAGGGCAGAGTTTTATTTTTTTAAAAGAAGACATAGGCCCAAACTATTAAAACACAAGATAGCAGGGTAAAGATGGACAGGTTCATAAAGTGTTGTTCAGGGATATAAAAGATTAAGTACTCTACTTGGAGTGAGGAAACCTTGTTCAAATCCTGCTTTGGATACTTACAAGCCATGTGAACCTAGGCAAGTCTCAACTTCTGGACCTGTTTCCTTCCCTACAAAATGATTGGGTTGAGCTTAACAAAATCTAGCTTTAAGGACAGGGACTGACTGTTCTGCTTGTCTTTGTCTCTCAGGGCCTAGCACATAGTAGATGCTGCTTGAATGATGGGAGTAGAGATAAAGAGTGGTTTGGGGAGATTGGTGACCTCTAAAACCAGTAAGATTTAAGAGATACCAAACTAGAATAGTCAGATTCATTGGTGACCATCTAATCTCATCCCTTATTTTGCAGATGAGGAAAGTGAAATCCAGAGAGCTAAAACAACTGGTTCTTTCAATCTCATCTGGAAGGACCCTCAGGTGACTCCCTCTACCTCTGTCACAAAAAAAGGTGGGGGAGAGGGATAAGACATCCTACTCAGAACATATTATACAGATATAGATAGATAGATCGAGCAATATATATACATATGTGTATATATATATGTATAAACATTTTACTTTTTTATATGCCAATTACATGTTTGTTTACAGTTCAGTTTTAGCCCATTCCTTCCAAGTCAGTCCTATTTAAGTCAATGAAATTTTATTAATTTTTCTCAGGAAGATTTTTTTTTTAGCCCTTGATTGACAATGAGCTCCTTATTTCAATCTCTGTCTATATTTATAATACAAGGCACATTTTAGAAAGAGGATGTGAAACTTACAAGCTAGGTAGATAACCCAGTTATTTTCTAGCAGCTCTGCTGAAAGTTTTAGTGGTCACTGATGGGTAAAAGTAAGATTTGTGGATTTTAAAGCCATTTTCCTATTTCTCTCTTTCCTTTCACTGGCAAACTTGCTCATAAACAAGTGGTTTGTACATGCTACCTGCATTTCATCACAGTCCATCCCTTCTGTAGCCCTATGTCTTCTTAGGTTCTACTGCAGCATGGCTCTTCCAAAACAGACAGAAGAAATCACTTGCAAAGACTATTTCTTTTTAAATCATTTTCTCAGTCATCTTTTCAATTCAGCTGCTCTGTGGCATTATGTATGCCCTCTGAACTGACCTCTCCTTCACCCCCAGCTTAGAACCCTATTTTCTTAAGGTTTCCTTCCTACATGCTATACCATAGTTTCTTTATCTCTTGAACTTGGCCTTCTAACACCCATTGAACTCTATGTGGACTTTCTCCAAGGCTCTCTTTTTGTTCCCTGTACATTCCCTTAGAGAACACATCTATGCACAGGGGTTCTCAGCCTGAGATTCATGAACTTGTTTTAAAAATTATTTTGATTCAAACTATTTCAATGTAATTGCTTTACTTTTTGATTCTGTCTCTTTCATGCATTTAAAAACAATCTGAGAAGAAGTCCACAGATTTCAACAGAGCCAGAGGGGGTCAACTGAGTCTTTAGGGAAAATGGTGGTAGGTGGTCAGGGTTGTTGAATTGGCATGCCACATCTTATCTCTGCTTCAGGGTGCTTTGCTGCATGCCCCCAGGAGTGACAATAACATAAAGATAGTATATGCATTGTTGTATGTCTGTAGTCCCCACTCCTGAAAAGAAGACAGAGACGTTCTCAGCTGTGTGTTGGAGTCTGACTTGGTCATTTTAATTAGGGGGATTTTTTGTTTTGTTTCTTTCACTTTCATTGTAGTAGTAATTGTATTTATACGTGTATGGTTTTTCTGGTTCTGTGTACTTCCCTTTTGATCACTATCTCCTCCTTTGCTTCTCTATTCATGTTTCTTGCAACCTAGTAATTTTCCATTATTTGTGAGCTACAATTTGAGCTACTCCCCAGTCGTTGTGCATCTTTGTTTCCAGTTCTTTGCTACCACAAAAGTACCACTCTAAATATTTGTGTCTACTGTGGGTTAACTCCATAATAAAACTAAATTTCAAAGTTACAAAATTTTGAAAGTAACTCAAATTATATTCCTTACATCAAGTTACTTTATATAAAGTAAAAAATGACTAAGTGACAAGCACTGAGATAAATGTAAAACTCTTGAGCGTGTGTCAGTGTTATAAAATATAAATTGATATCCTTTACATCTTTGATTTCATTGGGGTCTGTGCCCATGGGTAGGCTTTTTGGATCAAAGGATAATGTGGACAATTTAGTTGCTTTCTTAGCATAATAAGAGTTTTCCAGATCAACCAGGCATTAGTGTCCCTCTTTCAGCAGCCTTTCCAATATTGACTTCCCGTTTTTTATTTTCTGTGACAAACTGCTGAATTGTTGACCTTTGAAAAATGGTATGAAAATGTTGATATTCACTTTGACTCTATTGAGTAATTGTCTGGTCTTATGTATATCTCGAGTCATTCTTGCATTTCCCTCTTCATGCTTTATTTTAATACTACCTCAAGTTAATTTGGTAAAATTTCAAGAGGTGTGACAAATTAGATCCATGTAGGTTATCAATCAAATATTAAGGTTTCTTAGTTGACCCTTTTTTCTGTCTTTTCTCTGTCTTCTTATAGCTGATGGAGATGCCATTCTTAAAGGTCTACAGTCTGTTTTTGAAGAGCAGGCAATGACAGAAACAGTTCATTCTTGGGAAGATCATGGATATTTAGCAACCTACGTTAACAAAAATGGCAGGTAAGTGAAGGTCTTTTTAAAAAATTAATTTTATTTTGAACTTACCACAAATCTCTTTTTATAATACTTGGATTTTTTTTTTTAGAGAAAAGAATAAATTCTACACATTTTTTTTTCACTTTTAATAAACATTTTATTTACTGACCAGCAAAGTAGTTCTAAAACGATAGCTTCTGGAAGAATCACTTGTTTTTGCCTGTCTTGTACCTTTCCTCAAATTTCACCTTGGCCTCCTTCCTCGCCTTACGTTTTAGTGCAAGGTCACGGAACATATCTTTGTTGACAACTGTTTTGTTCAATGGGATATCCACAGAGTATCTGGTGGGCATGAGGTGGTTGTAGTTATAAACTTTCACAAAGGACTTGATTTTTGATCTCTTGGCAATCTTCTTTTTGCTCATTGCTGCAGTCACTTTTCGAGGGTTGCCAGGTGGTGAACCTCAGAGTAGGGATCTTGGGATCCTACATTTCGAAATAGAGGCAAACTTAGAGGTCATCTAGTCCAAATCCTTTCATTTGGAAGACTTAAGATCTTCACGGAGTTTAAGTGACTTGAAACAAGGTCCTTTTCATTCCCTAGTCCATTTTGCCTGTAAGGGAACATAGAATGTGACATTAAAAATCTTTGCTTTTAGCAGTCTAGTCAAGAGGTTAATGAAGGCCAGACCTCTCTTGGTTATGGTGAGGGTGAGCATAGAATTTGATTATACTGGTTAACTAATGGGATGTTGGCAGGGGATGAGGGAGGAAAAAGGGTCAAAATGGATTCCAGGGTTTTAAGTTGGTTTACTTGAGGATGATGACAGCAAAATGAAAATTCCTTAAGTGAATTTATGTTTCTGTATCCCTGGTACTTAAAATAATTGCTCATAGTAGCATACGCTTGTTGAAAGGAATTAATGTTTGTGCCCTGAGAAGAAATAGGAAAACTGAGGAGAGGGGAGGGGAAGGTGCATTTTAATGAAGGGGTCCCTATGGTATTAGGGAGGTTCCGTGCTGTTATCTTAACATACCATAGTAATAGAGTAGCATAACATATTACTATGGGTTCTGTGGTATTAGATAGGGAAAATATATGTGAAGGATTTTTTGGAAAAAGTCTTCATTTCCTTCCCTTCTTCTTTCTCCTTTCCCTTTTGTAGTCCGGCTCTACTCTTCTCCTTCACCCCCATTAAGCCCCTACTGTGTGTCAGGCACTCTCCAAACACACCATCTTTGACGTCATTGGTGACCTTTGAGGAAATAGTTTCAGTGATTGAAATCAAATGGCTTTTTTTTTTCCAGTCTTTATCATCGTTAACCTTACTAATATTAGCTGGCACACATAACGCTTTAAGGCTTACAAAACCCTTTATATAAAATCATTAGAGCTTCACTGCAACCCTGTGAGGTGGTTTTTACACGAATTATTCTGATTCTACAGATGAAACTGAGCTCCAGTAAATGGCTCCTCCATGGTCACCCAGCTAGGTCACTGGATTGTGGGGCTTTTTCTACTAAACCGTGCTGCTTCTCATTATTTGACACAGATGATAGCCTTCTTCCTAGTAAGATATTTGGTTTCAGAGACACTGTGTTTATTCTTCTATCTCCAGAACCATTTCTTTTCTCTGTTCTTGGTTGCTTCCTGTTTGCCACAGTTCTGCCCTCCACCCACTACTGCCCATATAAATCTGATTCACTTTCATGTCTTCAACTACTACTCAAATATAGGTGACAGAAATCTCAAGTCTCCAACCCCAATCCTTTTCCAAGCTCTGACCTGCACATTTAGGATATTAGCTGTATATCCCATCATCACCTAAGTCAGTATATCTGAAACCTACCTTAACCTTCTGAAACTCTTGTTCCTTCTGACTTCTCTGTTTTTATCAGTGACATAAACATTCATGCAGTATCTCATATTTAGATCTTTGTGGCGCATTCATCATAAACTGCCTATTTAGAGGCAGCTAGGGGCACAGTGGATAAAGAGCTGGGCCTAGAGTCAGGAAGAACAGAGTTCAAATCTGACCTGAGATATTATCTGTGTGACCTTGGGCAAGTCACTTTTCCTTTGTTTGCCTCAGTTTCCTCATCTGTAAAATGGGGATAATAGCCCCTAGCGTATTGTGAAGATAGAGTCAGATAATGTGTCAAGTGCTTTACAAACTGAAGGTGCTATTTAATGATTTTTGTGGTTGTTCAATTGTTTTTCAGTCATATTTGTCTTTTTGTGACAACATTTGGGGTTTCCTTGGCAAAGATACTGGAGTGGTTTGCCATTTCTTTCTCTAGCTCATTTTATATATGCGGAAACTGAGGCAAACAAGGTTAAATGACTTGCTGGGGTGGGTATAACACAGCTAGTTAGTGTCTGAAGCCAGATTTGAACTCAGGAAGATAACACTTCCTCACTCCAGGCCCAGTACTCAGTCCACTGGACCACCTAGCATTATTATTGTTGTTAGGATTTTTTACTTCTTGCTTTCAATCAGGAAATAGTTTTAGTGATCCCGAAATCAAAGTCTCTTTTTTTTTTAAATCTTTATTATCCCTGACCTTACTAATATTAGCTGGCACACATAATCCTTTAAGGCTTATATAACTTCTTATATAAAATCTGCATTCCTGTAGATTCTACCTGTAGAATTTCTGTTGTTTCAATTTTTTTTATTACCTCTGTTAGCACTCTTATGCTGGCCTTGATTTCTACCACCCTGAATTGGTGTGATATGTCTGTTTTCTTTCTCTCCCCCTTATAGCATTTCTTCTTTGTGCTTTTGCCAGACTTACTTTGTTCATGCATTGTTTTAAAAATCTCTCCAGTAACTCCCAGGAGATAGCACGGTGCAGTTAGATTTGGCCTCTTGTGACTTTGGGCAAGTCATTTAAATGTCTCTGGGCCTTTGAAGTTTCTTCTTCTTCTTCTTCATTTTTTTTTTTTTTTTTTTGTTATTTATTTTGAAATATCAACAATCCCTTCCATAAGCTTTTGAGTTTTAAATTTTTCTCCCTCTCCCTCCCCACCTCCCTCCCCAAGACAGGGCGCAATCTGATGTAGGTTATACATACACATTCCTATTAAACATATTTTCACATTAGTTATGTTGTAAGTAAGAATTAGAACCAATAGGAGGAACCTCCAGAAAGAGGAAACAACACACAACAGAAGAAAAAGCAGAACTCCATAGTTCTTTCTTCTTTGTGGATAGCATTTTCCATCATGAGGCCTTTGGAGATGTCTTAGATCCTTGTATTGCTGAGAAGGGTTAAGTCTATCAATATTAGTCATTGTACAATGTGGCTGTTACTATGTACAATGTTCTCCTGGTTCTGCCCTTAAGTTTCTTCTTGAAGGTCCCTTTCCTTTCCCAAATCTATGATCTTCTGATCTTGTTGCCTCTTGAGTCAAAATTCAGTCTCCCTTGCTTGGCAGTCAAGGCTTTTCACAGCCTGGTACCAGCCTCCCAATCCAGCCTTATCACATCAGTCCTCTCTGTACATACGATAGCCAAACTCAATTACTCTTTGTCCTTGGAACTTCCAAAGGGAAGTCTCCTTCCCTTTGCTGAAGCTGTGACTGCAATGTCATCTTTTTGAATTGAATTTCTGCATCCTTTAAAGCCCAATTCAAATGCTGTGTGAAGCCTTCCCTGATTTTTCCCACAAAACCCATTGGTACTTCCACTATTAATATGTAGTCTTGAAGAAGAAATTGAAGATGCACAAAAGGAGGTGAATGATGGATTAGTGTTGGAAGAAATCTGTAAAGGATAGGATTAAGGGCTGGGTTAGGAAAGATTTAGCATTAGAAAGTACCCCCTCCCTCCTTTATCTCAAACTTCAGATATTCCAGATATTCCACCACCACCCAGTGAGTCATCCCTTTTAACAAAGAATAAAGAAGGAAGAAGGAAAAAAAATTAGTTCAGTAAAACTAACCAACACATAACTGAGCCTAACAGTCTGCTTTTGGTCTTCCTGCTCTGGGCAAAGAATGGAGGTACATTTCTTGAACTCAGGCTCGTCAGAACATGCAGTGTTCACTTTTGTGTTTTGTTGTTATTTTTATTTTCATTTATATTGTCAAGAGTCCCTGTTTGTATGCCCATCAGTCTGTCTCTATCTCTATGTCTCTATAGCTGTATATTTATGGACCCATATTGCTTTGCCAGTCAGAAAATCACAGTGGCTGTTTTTGTTTTTTGTTTTCCTGTTACCAGCCCTCTGTGATGCAGAGGCCTTTGACATGCCTCCAAATCTCCAAGTACTCTTAAATTTCCTCTCTACATTCCTTCCTTTTCCTTCAGTAACTTTCTTATTTGAAATGGATAGTTTTGTCTCTCCCTCTCTCTCTCTTTTTTTTTTTTTGCAAGGCACCTGGGGTTAAATGATTTGCCCAGGGCCACATAACTAGTAAGAGTCAAGTGTCTGAGGTCAGATTTTAACTCAGGTCCTCCTGAATCCGAGGCCAGTACTCTATCCACTGTACTGTCTAACTCCTGACATCTTGAAAGTAATGTGTCTTGTCTGTCCATTACAATTTTCAGTGGTATTTTTGTTCCACTGGTCTTCCAGAAGGAATTAGCCATGTTTGAAGAGTTTTTTCATCACTTTTGCGTGGCTGTGTGTATCTTCATAATGAACTGCTTAATTTAGGGGTATGAGGAATATGGTGTTTTCCAGTTGCAGTTTTGTTTAGAGGGTACTATGGTGAAAACAGCTATTTTTCTTTCAAAAATCTAGCCTCATAATTTAAGTACCTGAGCAGAATATACATATCAAAAACAATAATGTTATAGGTCATACGTAAGACTTATACTCAGAAGAGAGCCTCATCTGAATCTTAGCCATCTTTTAGAAGAAATTTAAAGTAGATTTCCTACTTGAAGGAAAGGCTAGCTAAGAGAACACTTAAGTTTATGGCATAGGATTTTGGATAGGAAAAGTTTAAAAAAGTACATTTTATAGGAATTGCAAACCAATTCTCTACCTTATGCCATGCTTAAGTGCCAAATATTAAAACTTAATTAAAATTAAATTAAAATTAATTAAAATGAAAATGAAAACATATTATGTATATATATATATTTTTTTTTTTTTAGTTTCGCCAGTCTGAGAATTTACCCACATGGATTAGTGTTGATGGATGTACAGAGTTATAGCAATGATTTGAAAGGAAGAGAAGAAATTGACAATGTAAGTATTTCTTGCTTTTTATCCAGATGGTGTTAAATGTAACTTAAAGTACTGTATCTGTTTTTTGCCCTTTTTTGACCCTCAATTTTTTCAGCTCACCTGAAATTAACTTTCGATTTGTCTGTAGCCTTCCAAAACGGTTTTCTCCCAGTGGTGATCTAGGTCTGGGACTTATAGATAATTCTTTTTTTTTTATCCCCCCCTTTTAAAATTCTTTAACTTTATGAGAATAGTTGTTTTTGTTCTTTGATTCTTGATTACACAGAAGGAAAGGTGAAAGCCCGAATTTTCTTTCCCCTTAATCTTCCTCTCCCTCTTTAAACACTGACTGGAGTTACCTAAAGTTAAAGCTGTTTTTCAGGGGTAGGAAGAGGCAGAGAGCTGGGTTGGGTTGGGCAGGGTGCTGAATTATATCAGAATTCCAATGTTTGAGTCTTTGAATACAGTCCTAATGCCTCTGTAAGTCCTTCACTTAGGGCAGAGCTCTGTAGACAAGCCTGGCTGTGTGGGCTAGGACTTCGTGTGTGTGTGTGTGGGGGGGGTTCTGTCCTAATTCAGATCTCTCACATAAGCCCCACTGAAGTCTGATGTTGTGATACCATGGAAATAAAGGCCATTCTGATAGCTTGTTACAAGTTGATACATATATCTTAGCTGCCTGTATAAATTCTTTTTTTTTCTTTTGTTTTTGTAGCTACTAAACAAATTAGAAGAAAGAATGAAAGAACTGTGTCAGGGCAGTATTGGAAGGTTAAAACGGTGAGTCTTGAGTCTGTGTTTGAATGTTGTTTTATACCTTTTTTTGTTTTTCTAATGGCTTTGGTGTGAATCTTGCCCAGACATGATCTACCCAAGTTATGGAAAGGAACCCAGATTGCTTAGGCAGGCTGGATGATAATGAGGTCTCCAGTTATAAGTTATATTTCAGGTGAGTTCTAGGGTACAGTTTTCAAGCATGACCTTCTCTTCAGATGATTAGAGTTCTCAGTCAATCAACATTAATTAAGCACCTACTATGTGTCAGGCACTGTGCGGCCTGTGAGGATACAAAAAGAGGCAAAAAAATAGTCCCAGCACTTAAGGAGTTTACAGTCTAATGGGGTAAACAGAAACCTCAGTATAAAAGCTTTTGTCCTAAAGTGGCCTTTATCTCTATGTTTTGTACATCCTTTAAACAGTTTTAGATATTACAGCAACATATGGAGCTCCAACACTTATCACAGTTCCTAGAATATATAGTAGGTGCTTAGTAAATGCTTATTGATATGATTTAACTTCTTGAGACCAGGGGTGTAAGAACAGGGGTGGGGAACCTGAGGGCCTTAAGGCCACATATGTCCCTCTAGGTCCTCAAGTGTGGCCCTTTGACTGAATCCAAACTTCACAGAAAAAAATCCCCTTGCAAGGATTTGTTCTGTGAAACTTGGACTCAGTCAGAAGGCTGTACCCAAGAACCTAGAAAGCCAGGAGGCCACAGGTTCCCCACCCCAGGAGCATTAAATTTGAAATCAGAGGGTCTGGGTTTGAGTGTCAACTCTGTTACAGCTTTGTGATTGAGTTATTAATCTGTAAGTGCTAATTCCTGTGACCCAAGGCTGTGGTGGATTCTTCAGTCAGAAAGTCGGGAGCTCCTATTTATTAGTTATTGTTTATAAAGAGATATTTTCTCTGACTTGGTACAAATTGAGAACAGATTTCTCTCCCCCCCTACAAACACACACACTCACTGATTTACTTTGTAAATCAGGCCTTTGTAAAAAGAAGGAATACTCCAGAGCCACTGGAAATATGCTGTTCTTTTCTCAGTGACTGTATCTCATTCTTTACTGAGTTAATGAGGCTGAGAGGCAGAAATAGAAGCCCAAACCTTAATTACACAAGTTAGTTCTCATGAACATCTCATGTTTCAAACAGGTATTTAAAAATAAAACTTGAAAAGAAATAGAAGAAATTCATTGGGTTTTTTTAGGTGGTGCTTGAAGAAAATGGGTTAGAAATACAAATTGCCTTTTGAAAACTTTTGAAGGGCAGATTTTTAAACATTCTCCCTTATACTTCTGTTTAGTAAGAAAGCTTGAAAGTTAATAGGATGGAGTTATTATTTTTGCCTAGGCAATGGGGTTACGTGACTTGCCCGGGGTTACGTGACTTGCCCAGGGTCACGCAGCTAGTAAGTATCAAGTATCTGAGGCTGGATTTGCACTAAAGTCTTCCTGACTCCAGGGCCAGTCCTCTGTCCATTGTACCACCTAGCTGCCCACAGGGATGGAGTTATTTTATTTTATTTGGTTTTTGTTTGTTTGTTTGTTTTGTTTTTTGTATTTTGTTAGGCAGTGGGGTTAAGTGACTTGCCCAGGGTCACACAGTTAGTGAGTGTCTGAGGTCACATTTGAACTCAGGTCCTCCTGACTCTAGGGCCAGTGCTCTATCCTTTGTGCCACCTAGTTGCCCCAGATGGAGTTATTTTAAATTAAGCTTGTTATTTTAAAAATAACACTGAGTCAGAGTTGAGGCAGTGAAAGTATTTGTGACCAGGACCCCATAGTTTTACTTGCTTAATTTTATATCTACTCCAGTGACTCCCATGGAGTGTTTTGCAAATAGCTAAATGCTCAGTTAACAGCTTGTAAATGCATAGATTTCTTTTATAGTCCACTTCCTCTACCACCTTCCCAACCTAGATCCTTTATCAAAACAACAAGTTAGAACCTGGCTTCACTTTCAGCTCTTCTTTACAGCTATTTCCTTTTTTTTTTTTTTTTTTTTTTTGGTGAGGCATCTGGGGTTAAATGACTTGCCCAGAGTCACACAGCTAGTGTTTTGTATCTGAGGCCAGATTTGAATTCAGGTCCTCTTGACTCCAGTGCCGGTGCTCTATCCACTGCACCACCTAGCTGCCCCTATTTCCCTTTCTAAAACAGATAAGAGTTATTTTCCATTTTTCTCCCTTGTAGTTTTGGGATTAACTGGTCAGTCTTTGGTCTCAGGAGTGCAACTGCACTTAAATGCAAAAACAATTCAGTTTTTCACTGACCCACAAATAAAGGTTACCTTAGCAGGTGCTAATAGGAAAGCTGTTGTCTAATAGGTCAAGGTGGACACCGTATATCTAACTTTAAAATAATCTGGTTCAGGATCTGTTTCTGATGTTTCCAAGGGTAGACAACTGTCCCCTTATTATAATCATAGAATATTGGAGATGGAAAGGAAGGACCTTAGGTCATTTGAGTTCATCCTATTTATGAGGAAGCTACAAGGGTTGTTTGTTCTACAGTGAGATCAGGCCAGAAAATATGCATTATGAATTATTGGGAAGTTACATCCTACCTGCTAGGTGGAGCAGTGGATAGTCAGACTTATATTCAATATTCAGGAAGACCCAAGTTCAAATTTTGCCTCACATACTTACTCACTGTGTGACCCTGGGAAAATTACTTTATTTTCTTAGCCTCAGTTACTCCAATCTGTAAAATCTGTAAAACCCGATTCACAGGATTGTTATGAAAAGTGAAGGAAGTAAGTTATGTAAAACACTTTCCAAACCTTAAAAGCTCTTTATAGATGCTATTGTTGTTGTTATTATCACTATTAAGAACATCAATTTAGGAAGAAAACAGTGATATTGTATATAGATGGCTTTCTCTGCCAAGAAAGCCCAAATGGAGTCACAAGGAGTCAGCCCATGATTGAAAGTAGTAATAGCAACAGTGATGACTTGTGAGTGTCACACAGCTAGTAAGCATCTGAGACTATGCAATCTTCTTGACTTGAACTGGACTCAGTGCTCTTAAGTTCTGTGAGTTTAAAGTGAACCAGCTTTTCTGATTTTAACAATATCTGTGGCATTTAGAATTTTAGTTTTTAGCTATTAATCCTCACTAATATCTGAATCTCTTAAGTATAAAACTTCACTTGGATTGTGTTAAATATGTTTATGTATAAATTACTTGGGTGTGTCCACTTACCAATTATAACCCATATCTGATCTTTATGGGTGGCCATAGCCAAGTTTCTGGTGTGAACCTCTCTGAATTTTTAAATAAGCTACTCCTCAGATGACATCACACATTTTAGTTTTTATACCACTTATGTAACATACGGTAGGTGACTTCACCTTCTTTTGACCTCAGTTCTGTCCACCTCCCAATACCTATTCCACCCCCCACCCCCCCGGAAAAATGAGGGAATGGACAAGATGGCTTCTGGGATTCCTTCCAGCCCTAAGTCTTAACTGCTGGGGCCATATTCAAAGTCTTTTATAGCTTGATAGGACTAACAGAGCATGTGTTCCATTGACATAACCTTTTGAGGATTCAGGGACATCCACCTTTAAATCTGATTCCAGGCCTATAGTGAAGCGTTTGAGCAGAATTTCTGTAGATTGCTTTTTATAGAAAAGATGTTCTATGTGTATAAAATGCAGTTTCTGTTCAAAAAAGGAGTTTTTCTGTAAAAATACAGCTTCTGTGATATTGTTTTCAAGAGTTCTGTCTATCCTGTGGGAAGTGTGTGTGTGTGTGTGTGTGTGTACTCCTATTCATTTTCTGTCTCCTGGCCCTAATGAAGATTTAGTTATTAAGAGCTTGTATAGAAAATGTGGCCATTTGCTATTTGGAGCCCGTGGACATCTCCTGGTTGCAGAAAGGGAAGATGGAGCAGATAGGACATTTATAAACAGAAACTGTGTGAAGGCTCATATTTGTTTCTTTAGGTTGCCAGCTCTTGTACGAGGAGGCAAGATTGATAAGTATTGGCCCACGGCTGATGGACGCCTGGTGGAATATGACATAGATGAAGTTGTGTATGATGAAGATTCACCTTATCAGAACATTAAAATTCTGCATTCAAAGCAATTTGGAAATATCCTTATCCTCAGCGGTGATGTCAGTAAGTATTTTCCCCCCTCAATCAAGACCAGCTGAAATGGTCTCTTCATGTTTTGGACTTGCTAGAACTTTATTGAAGTTTGCTTTCAGAATGTTGCCACTGTAAACTTATGTAAGACTTTTCATGTGTTTACCTAAAATATTAATATTTTAAAACAAGCCTTTTATTTCTTGAACTGCCATTGCCTCTGATTTTTTTTCCCTACGTTATGCAAAGCTATTATGTGAATAGGAATCTTCATGTCATACTCACAGGCTTAAAAAAAAGCCATGATGTTTGGTGTGGGGCATATATTTTTTAAAATGTTGTATAGAAGCATTTTGATTTCTATACCACATTCATTTCCCAATAATCTGTCCTTCTTGCATATTGACCGTCTATAAGAGAAAAACAAAAGAGGTAAGCAAAATCAACCAATATGTTGGCTGCAGTGGACAGAATTTATAACTACCACCTTTCTGCCATGAAGTTAGTTTGTTCATTGTCAATAATCTGGTTACAGTATTGATCATGGCATGTGATCTAAGTTGTCATCTCATAATTTATCTTGATGTTTTTTATTCGGTGTCAGTTCATGCAAGACTTCCTGTTTTTCTGGCCACTTCTCACATTTATTGTTCTTTTGTGGCATGATCATATAGTAATAGCTAGCATTTATATATCATGCTTTAAAGTTTTCAAAGTGTGCTTTTCCAAACACATTATTTTAGTTGATCATAGTAATATTTCATTGTATTCATGTCCCACAGTTTGTTCAGACGTTGCACAAATGATGGGCACTTGATTTGTTCCTAGTATTTTTTTCCCAGTTTAATAAGTAATGGACATATTCTATTGATTTTTTTAAAAATTGTTTTTACTTTTAAATAAATGAAACACTGAATAGGAAAGAGGGAGGTGAATGAGTGGTTTTGCTTCTAGAACTCTTCTGATACCAAAGTCCTTTTAGTGTCAGATTGTTCGACAGCGGAAACCAGTATAGCTTTATTAATTTAAATGGCCTGAAAGAAGATGCATTCCATCTGATTGACTAAGGACCACAGGGCCTTGCCATCTCATTTGAGCAGAATTTTCCTCTGTGTTTTATTTTACCCTTTGGAATGTGAACTCTTTGAGAAAGTCTTAACTTTTCTATTTATCTTATTCCCCACTCCTTAGCACATAATAAGTACTTAATAAATGCTTACTAGGCATAAATGAATAATAAGATCATTGGCTTAGAATTGGTTTAGATCTCAATTTCCCACCTATCAGCTGCCTGATTGCACTTGAATCATCAGTGCTAGGTGGCTGGGAGATGAATTTTTTTTTTTTTTTTTAATTTTTTTAATTTTTAATTTTGAAAAAATTCTTAAGGGTAATTTGAATTTTGAAAAAATTCTTAAGGGTAAAAATCTTACGGATTACAGTGATCCGAAAACAAATTAAATATTTTTACTTTTCATGATATGTAGATTTTAAGGCTTGTATAAAACATTCATTCTGGCCAGCTAAGTTGTAAGTGAATATTGATAAGATCACAATGTCTCACCATCTTTCTGTTTGTATTTTCTGATTCCTAGATTTGGCAGAGAGTGACTTGGCATATACACAGGCCATAATGGGCAGTGGGAAGGAAGATTACACTGACAAAGAAGTGCTGATTCTGGGTGGTGGAGATGGGGGTATATTATATGAAATAGTCAAATTGAAACCAAAGATGGTCACTATGGTAGAGATATCCTTTTTCAGAAAGAGTCAAGTTACAGGGTCTTCATTTTTTTCTTAATCTTATGCCTCTACAGTGCATTTTCCTTTTGTCTAAGGCAGGAGTTCTTAACCTGTGGTCTTTGAATTAAAAAAAAAATATTTTGATAACTTTATTTCAATATAATTTGTTTCCTTTACAATTCTCTATATTTTATTTTATGCATTTAAAAACATTAATTCAAGGAGTCCTTTGGCTTTTCTAGACTGCCTAAATGTATGATGAATGTGTGTCCATAACACAGAAAAGTTTAAGAACCCCTGGCAAAGTAGCTGTCATTAAAAATCAGGCTTGAAAAAATAAAGACATGGCAACATTTTAGCTTAATCCTGTTAGTCTTTTTTTCTTCTTTTTTTGTTGCAGTAACCAACAAGTTTGCTATCTCCCCATCTTCTTTATTGTCAGGAATAATCTACCCAAGGGCAGCAAACATGAGCAGTCTTTGGCATGATGCCTCTTTGTCTCTTGTAATCATTGTAATGGCCTGCCTGAATCCATAGGGAATTTACAGGAAGAAATCTTTGTTCTTTTGAGTGTCCTTGGTGCAAAATAAGAAGCTTTGTCTCTCTTGACAGCTAATTTTCCTCCTTTTTTTCTCCCCTCTCAAATAATCATGTTTTCCTGGAAGGGAAAAATAAGGTTTTTGAAATATATGCAGAATTATGATAGCAAAACTTGTGCCTTATAAGAACTTTATATTCTTGCTCATATTTTCTTTCAAATATTTGACTATTCAAAAATCAGTTAAATTGAATATTGTGGGAAGAATTTTCTTGCTCCTTAACAAGTTTCAAAACATTGACCAGATGGTGATTGACGGGTGTAAGAAATACATGCGTAAAACATGTGGAGATGTCTTAGACAATCTTAAAGGAGAGTGCTATCAGGTAATCCATTCTTTTGTTGTTGTTCACCTTGATGTTAAGTAACATTGTTGTTTAAGTTGTTTCAGTCATATCTGACTCTTCCTGACCCTATTTGGCGTTTTCTTGGAAAAGACGCTGGAGTGTTTTGCCATTTCCTCCCCCAGATCATTTACAGATGAAGAAATTAAGGCAAACAGGGTCATACAGTTAGTAAGTATCACCTACCTTCCCTAAGCAAGATTAGGGTTGTTTATATACATGATAGTGATTTACTGCTAATAGAGCAGCTGTTTTAAAGCTGCCCATTAAGTAGTTTATAATATTACTGGTAATCACACAGGAAAACTACACCCACACCCACACACACAGACACACACACACAAACACATCAGTTGCTTCTTAGAAATTATCTGCTACAGCTTTCTGGATAACTAGGAGTCTTAAAAAAAAAGTCACTAACTCAAGCAATGCAGGCAACAGATAGCAAGTGATTAGTAACAAATAATGTGTTTATAAAACTAAAGATATTTTATGGCTTTTGTCCATATGGAATTTTAGAGTCCAGCTGAGGATAAAGCACTATGGAGATAGTTATGGATGGACATATTTATTAAATACCTACTATATACCCAGCATTGTGCTTAAAGGGGCGGGGGGGGAGACCCAAAACAGTTTCTGCCCTCGAAGAGTTTACCTTGTGTTGGAGAAGACAGCACATACATTTGAATACAAAAAACCAAGATAATTTGAGGGGAGTGACATTAAAATTATAAAATAACATTCAAGGTGAGGTCCATTCCTTAGAATTTACATATTACTTTGTTCCTCTTCTATTTCTATTTTATTTTACATAGTAGAGATTATATACCCACCTCTGCCCCCATTAGATAGTAAACTCCTTAAAGGATTGGGGCTATAATCTAATTTTTTTTGTATGTTCCTCTAGTCGCAGTAACCAACAAGTTTGCTATCTCCCCATCTTCCTTATTGTCAGGAATAATCTACCCAAGGGCAGCAAACATGAGCAGTCTTTGGCATGATGCCTCTTTGTCTCTTGTAGTCATTGTGATGGCCTGCCTGAATCCATAGGGAATTTACAGGAAGAAATCTAAATGCTAATAATAGAATAACTTAAATGGGACGAATGAGCAGTGAACTGTAAGCCTTAAATACAGAGTGGTTAAAAAAAAAATCCTCATGTTTTATATACATTTTATAGGTAAGATCTTGTCATAATGAATGTTGAGATTATTTTATTATAGTACAGCGCTCTGTGTCTGGATGAAGTATAAACTTAATACGTGTAACCACATCATAAGAAATTGGATCACTTGATAGTCATATTTTGATCATAGCTCCAGAGAATAAGAACTTTAATTTGTTTTGTAAATTTTTTCATACATTGAAAATATGGTCTCATCATTATCACCAAAATATTTTTAAAAAATTTAACATGGATTACAATTTTTTGTTCTATCTTTTCCATCCCTTAGGGTAGAATCAAATTGTGTTTGACACAGTTGAAGATGGAAAATGAATATAAATTTGAAGACAGTGTTTGATTTTTTTTTTTTGAAAAGTCATTTTTTGTAAGTCAGAATGTTGTAGACTGCAAAAGAGATGCTAATTGTGGTATCTTGTGGTGATACTAGTAATTGCTGATAAGTCTTTAAGACAGGAAAAACAAAACTAAGAAGTAAAGAAGAAGCAGCACATTCCAGTTCCCCCTCGCAACAGCTCCAGAAAGGCTTTGAAAATAGACCAGACCAAGGGCTGATCAGAAAAATCAGCCCAGGTCAGCAAAATGAGATAGTGTCTATGTTCATTGGAGACTAGATCTCACTGGAAGGAGTACCATGCAGAGCTTTCTGGATTTGAGACCGAAAAATAAGGCCTAACAATGTAAAGAGCAGGAATAGGTTGGTCATATCCTAGAACTGGTAGGGACTGTGGAGGTGGCCTTCTGTCTGGGAGTGGTAGTGCACGGCAAGGAACAATCCCAGCCTGATTCTGTACTGCCTAGTGCAGGGAGCAGAACTGAGCATCATAAGTGTGGCTCTGAATCCTAGAGTGGGTGTCAGATCCAGGTCTTAAGCCTGTAGCAGAATTACCAAGACAGGTACCTCAGACCAAAGGGAAACGTGCAAACAGCTAGTTAGCTGATAGTGGTTGAGTTCAGTATCAGTCTACTGGAACTCTAATCAGGAACAAGCCCACAGTTTTATACCTCTGAACTAAAGACCGGTCAGGAGCTTGCAAAGCTTAGACCTGGAAGTTGATGATCAGACTTTGCCCTGGATCAGACTACTTTGGGCACACTAAAAGGTTGCACAGCCATAGCCTGAGCTGTATCTGAGATCCATGGTTGGACCCAAGAGAACACAAAACAAAACTAAGCATGGCCAGATATTCACTCCAGAAGTATGCATTACCTGGCTGCAGTGTAAAGTCCGTAGTTGAGAAATAAATGTGGAAGAATACTGTCGTAAAGAGTTGTTATGGTAACCGCTTCAAAAAACATTGAAAGGCAAGGCCCCAAAGATAAACAGCTTGGACAGGGAAGAAATGAATTAACAAGTGAAATGAGAGCACTAGATGAAAAATGAATTTAGAATGAACAGTTTAGCATGAAGTACAAAACTATTCAAGCAACAGACTTGTTGAAAATTAGAATGGACCAAATAGAAATGATTTTGTGAGACAGGAAACTTTAAAATTCAAAAAGATTGAAAAAACCATGGGAAAATGTAAGACATTGCATCAAAAACAACTGATATAGAAAAGAGATCTGGGCAGCCGGGTGGAGCAGTGGTTAAAGCACTGGCTCTGGAGTCAGGAGGACCTGAGTTCAAATCCGGCCTCAGACATGTAACACTCACTAGCTTTGTGACTCTGGGCAAGTCACTTAACCCCAATTGCCTCGCAAAAAAAAAAAATATGTGTATGTATATATATAATTTAAATAATAGGTCAAGGAGAAATAAATCTGAAAAATATAAAAGACTTAGGCAATCATATTGTAAGAAATCGTGAAAGTAAGCTGCCCAGATGTCTTCGAACCAGAGGGCCAGAGGGCAAGGTGAAAATAGAATCTACCAATCATTTCTGAAAGAAACCCCAGAAAGAAACTCTTAGTAACACTATAGCAATAATTCAGACCTCAGGGTCAAAGATCCAGAAAGAAAGAATTCAAAAACTAGAGTTACTGTCAGGCTCATTCAAGATCTAGCCATTGTTTTAATGGTGGAGAGAGCTTAGAATATGCTATTCCAAAGAGAATGTAATATAAGCTAAATATAATCCTACAAGGCCCCCCCACCCCCAAATGAACCTTTAATATTGAGGACTTTGATGAAAAGATGAGAGCTTAGTAAAAACTTTGAAATACAAACACAGAAAAATAAAGTAAATACAAACAAACAGTCGTAAGTGGCTAAAGAGTTGTTTATAAGTCTGAGCTTGAAGTCCTCTCTTCTTCTAGAAACCTTTTGCAGTCCTTAATCTTGGTGCTTTCTCTCTGAGATAATCTCCAACTTATCCTGTATGTATAGCTTGTTTATCGATTAGTGGATTATGTGATATCTTCCATCATTTAATTGTGAGCTCCTGGAAAGCAGGGGACGGTGGGTATATGAGCGTGTGCCATGTGCGTGTGCATAATAGATGCTTAATAAGTGCTCATACCATATACCAACATAAGCACCATATGGCTCTATGATTTAGACATAAAGGTTGACTTCATAACAGATTAGAGGAACAAAGAAGAAAATATGGATAAAGGAAGAGTTCATGATCAAACAGGATGGAGTGGTTCACAAAGACAATTTTGATTTTGTAAAATTAAAGTTTTTACACAAACAAAATGCAGCTAAACTTAGAAGGGGAAAAGTTAACTGGTTAAGATATATTTACAGCACATTCCTCTGATAGTTTTATTTTCAGATGTAATCAACATTCATTAACTTTATTTTATGTCAAACACTGCTAAGGGTTGAATATACAGATACAAGCAGAAAGAATTATAGTCTCTGACCTTAAGGAGCTTACATTTTTAATGGGAAAAGACAACACTGAAAAGGGAGGTGGTGATAAATGTGAGGGTTGGGGAGACAGATGATGGGAGAAGGGTAGAGACTTAGGCCTATGGAGCTGACTCAGCGTTGTAGCTTGCAGGGGAATGAAGAAGAAAAAAATATATATGGGCACACACACACATATAGTAATGATTCAGATTATGAGAATCTGAATCATTCCCCAGTTGATAGATAAAAGATGAATAGGCAGTGTTCAGAGGAAGAATTACAAACTATCATCAGCCATCCTAAAAAAAAATGTTCCAAATCACTAAGAATTAAAGAAATGAAAATTAAAGCCACTTTGATGTTATACCTCAAACCCATCATATTGTCAAAAGTTGACAAAAATAAAATTATATAAATAACTAGAGAGTTTTGGAAGATAAGTTACATATAAGCACTGTGGAGTTGTGAATTCGTTTTAATCAGTTTGTAAAACATTTTGCAACCATGTCCTCCATGTTACTAAACAGTGACCCAGCCATACCACTATTGGGTAATAAAGAGATTGAAGAAAAGAGGAAAAGTGTCCTGTGTAGGAAAATATTTATAGCATCTCATTTTATGGTGGCAAAGACCTGGAAAATAAGGGGTGGCTATTATAAAGATGACTTTGGAAGATGACTTCTGAACAACACAATGACCAACCATGATTCCAGTGGATTGAGATTGAGACATGTTCCCCAACTCCTGGTGGAAAGTTGCTGAATTCACGGTGCAGACTGTGACAAACCTTTTTTTTAGACATGACCAGTGGGGACTTTTATTTTATTTGACCCATATCTGTTCAAATTTGTGTTCCATTTAGGCATAGCTAGCTATTATATACGTAATCAAACTATTGCTTTCACATATAAAATTTTGATAGGGAAATAAAATTTTTTTTACTTATTAAAAAAATCCAATTAAATTTAAAAGGAAATTACAAAACACGAAAAGTAAAAAATACTGAGGCTCTGAAGATAATTAAAGAATGGTATTAGTAAAAAAAGTGTTAGTAGATTAAAGAAATTGTATTAAAAAGATAACTGGTAGTATGTAATAAAAAATTACTTGATACTTAGGAAGTAGTACAGAAAAAGTAGGAGGGGAATAAGGAACAAATCTGATTACATTGGTTTAAGGCACTCTCAGGTGAGTAAGTTCCTTCTATGAATCAATACATTTGGACACTTTCTCGTAACCTTAAAGTCTTTTTTTTTTTTAATTGGAAAATGCTTATTTTTTCCCCAATTTTTTAACATTGTTATTTAAAGTTTTGATTTCCAAATTCTCTTTCCTTCATCCCCTCCCCCTTTCCTGAGACAGTAAGCAGTGAGATACAGGTTATACATGTGCAATCCTGTAAAATGATTTCATGTTAGTAATTTTGTACAAGAAGACTCAAATAAAAGGAAAAAGAAAGAAAGTCAAAAATAGCATTCTTTAGTTTATATTCAGTCAATGTCAGTTCTTTCTCTGGAGGCAGATAGGATGTTTCATCATTAGTCTTTTGAGATTGTTTTAGATCCTTGCATTGCTGAGAAGAGCTATGTTTGTCGAAGTTAGTCATATCACAATGTGGCTGTTACTGTGTACAATGTTCTCCTGGTTCTGTTCACTTCACTATGCATCAGTTCATATGAGTCTTTCCATGTTTTTCTGAAATCATCCTGCTTGTCATTTCTTATAGCACAACAATATTCCATTACAATTATATACCACAGCTTGTTTAGCCATTCCCCAGTTGCTGGGCATGCCTTTGATTTCCAATTCTTGGCCACTGCAAAAAGATCTGCTAAAAATATTGTTGTACATGTGGGTCCTTTTCCCTTTTTATGATTTCTTTGGTATACAGACCTAGTAGTGATATTGCTGGGTCAAAGGGTATGCACAGTTTTGTAGCCCTTTGGGCATAGTTTCAAATTGCTCTACAAAATGGTTGGATCAGTTCACAACTCCACCAACAGAGCATTAGTATACATTTTCTCACATCCTCCCCAAATCCAACATTTTCCTTTCTTGTCGTATTAGCCACTCTGAAAGATGTGAGGGTGGTACCTCAGAATTTTTTAAATTTACATTTCTTTAATCAGTAGTAATGTGACTAGTTATAGTTTCTATTTTATTTCTGTATTCTGTTCATGTAACTACAGTCATTTTCTCCAGTTTTCTGCTTTCCTATTTATGATTGCATTGGTTTTATTTCTGCAAACTTTTTGTTTTATATAATCAAAATGGTCTATTTTACATTTTGTAATGTTCTCTATATCTTCTTTGGTCCTAAATTCTTCCCTTATCCATAAATCTGACAGATAAATTATTCCATGCTCTCTTAAATTGCTTGTGTTACTACCCTTTTTGTATAAATCATGTGCCCATTTTGACCTTATCTTGGTATACAGTGTGAAGTCTTCTATACCTAGTTTCTGCTATACTGTTTTCCAGTTTTCCCAGCAGTTTTTGTCAAATAATGAGTTTTTGTTCCAAAAGCTTGCATCTTTGTGTAGTCATTTACTATAATGCAATTTGTACCTGATCTATTCCACTGATATACCACTTGTATTTCTTAACCAGTACCTGATTGTTCTTAAATTACTGCTTTACAGTTTGAGACCTGGTAGGCTAGACCACCTTCTTCTGCATTTTTTTTTCATTGATTCCCTTGATATCCTTGAGCTTTTGTTCTATAAGATAAATTTTTTGATATGGTACTGAATAAATAGATTAATTTAGGTAGAATTGTCATTTTTTTTTTATTGGCTAAGTTGACCCATGAGCAGTTAATATTTTTCTAGTTGTTCAGATCTGACTTTATTTGTGCATGAAGTGTTTTATAGTTGTGTTCATATAGTGCCTAGGTTTGTCTTGGGAGGTAAACTCAGGTATTTTATATTGTTTACAGTTATTTTAAATGAAATTTTTTCTGTCTCTTGCTGCTGGACCTTGTTGGTAATATATAAAAATGCTGATAATTTATGTGGGTTTATTTTGTATCCTGCAATCTGCTAATGTTGTTAAAATAATTTCAAGTAGTTTTTTAGTTGATTCTCTAGGATTTTCTAAGTATATCATCATATCATCTGTGTGGAGTGATAGTTTCTTTCCTCATTGCATATTCTCATTCCTTTAATTTCTTTTGCTTTACTCAGAACAAACTCATGATATAAGCAGTATGTTTATTCCCATTTTATTCGATAAGGAAACTCTTAGAGAACTGTAATGACTCATTCAAGGTCACTTGAGTGCCTTTTTTTGGGGGGGGGGCAATTGGGGTTAAGTGACTTGCCCAGGGTCACACAGCTAGTAAGTGTCAAGTGTTTGGTCTCAGGCCGAATTTGAACTCAGTTCCTTCTGACTTAAGGGCTGGTGCTCTATCCACTGCGCCACCTACCCGCCCCACTTGAGTGCTTTAAGCACATGATTTTGCTGGTGATACTTCCTGTAACAATAAAGGTCATACCCTCCATCCTCCCTCCCTGCCTTTTTTTTAATATTTGGAGAGACTTGTCTTCCAGAGTTAATTTCTGTCTTTAGCCAAGCAGATGATGAGCCTCTTTGAACTTAGTTTTGCTGGCTCTTAGGCACATATTGTCTGTTGTTGGGTTCATGTCCTAGTCGGTACTAGAAGTCAAGTCTCCTAATGAGCCCAGTATTCTTTTCATCACACTATACTAGTTGTCTTGCATGATGCTTTAATTTATTGTCATGCTGTCATATCTGTTTTGGATTCAGCATTACAGAAGTGTTTGCTTACCCAAAAGTAGTTGTTGTTGTTGTTTTCATCTCCCAAAGGTTCTCATAGAAGACTGTATTCCAGTACTGAAGAGGTATGCCAAAGAAGGGAGAATGTTTGATTATGTGATTAATGATCTGACAGCTGTTCCAATCTCCACATCTCCAGAAGAAGGTGAATTCCACTGAGTTTTGCTGAAGTTCCTTCTGTATTCTGTGACTTAACATTTTGTATCTAGTGATTACTGTTTGCAGAAATAAAAGTGTTATTGTAATTAAAATGGGCATAATATAGGACTAAAAAAATTAGGTTTGAGTAGTCCAGAAGGCTTCTTACGGCATTTGTTTTAATTTTGCTAATTCTTCTATAAAATGAGCTTTACTGTAACACTTAGTCATTTTCAGTTATTTGACAGTCTTTGAATAGAACAGTGAAATCAAAGTTATTTTGGTCCTGTTATAACCTAGAGTTATTTGTTGATTCTGTTCATTACTTGGTACTTGACCTGTGCCTGTTCAAATTCATTCCCCATTTAGGCAGATTGAGCTCCTCTTCTGTTTAAAACTAGGTATTCAAGCTATTGTTTTGTTTTTGTATAAACAACTTATTGGAATCTTTTATTCCAGCCTGATGATTCTAGATGAAATATTATCTTTGAAATATTATCTTTACAGTGTTTTTGTATGTGGACCTTTTAAAGTTTTATTGCAAATCATTCTTAGCTTGTGTAGGCTACACAAAAGCAGGTGGTAGGCCCTAGTTTACTGATTCTTGCCTACCATGACTTTCATGTGAGAAGTTTGGAGGACGTGGCTAATTACAAGAATAAGAAGGTTTGGAGGATTAACAGATGGGGACCGCCTTAGTACTTTGAATAGTGATAGGGAAATAGTAACGGAGTAAGGTCTTTAAGTGTGCATGGATTGTCTTTTATAGAAAACTTGGAAAGACAGGGCTAATTCATCTCATAGGAAGAGACGGGAATTGGTTGCTGTCTACATGGACACATCAATCAGATCATAGATCTTTAGAAGAGTTATTAGAAATTGCTTCTTTGAGATTTTCACCTCTACCTTTCTGACATTTAGCTGTGTTGTTTAAGAGCATCATTGTCAAATATTTATTAAGTGATTGCATGCTGAAGGGGCTCTTATGTACTTTCTGGCTCTTGAAATTTGAAGTTACCTAGGGTTGAAATCAACCAGGAGTTAAAATCCTACAAATTTAGTATTTTACCCATTTCTTTTCTTGGACTTAATGGATATTTATGATGGCATGCAGTAATCAAGCATTAGATAAGATAGATAGATAGATAGATGGATAGATAGATAGATAGATGGATGGATGAGTGAATGGATACACACACTTAGTACCTTATGCAGAAAGTGATATTTGTGTGTATGTATATAGAAAAATATTCATTATATATTATGTATTTTGTGCTATACACATGTAAATATGTCTATATACATATATACACACACATAAAGTATATATACACATTTATTCACACATAAAACACCTGGCACGTAAGTTCTATAGACACACATTTCTTTATATAGTGATATGTATTATGTATTTTATGCTATATAAATAGCATATTTCTATATTTTATCTATTTGTACATCCACATGTAACAATACTTGGCACATAATAGGTTCTAGAGACATTCTCCATATCTATATATATAGAAATAATTGATCATATATTTTCTGCCATATAAAAATAAATACATAAATATTTCTCCCTAGAGATATCTATAGATTGTTACATATTTTTATAGATAGATCATAGATAGATTTACCACCTTCTGTGCCAGACTCTACATTAGACACTGCCATACAAAGACAAATTTTATATTTTATATTTATATTTTGGTGGGGGAAATAGTAGGACCCAAAGAAGTATCTATAGAACAGATAACAAGGTAGCCTTCCAAGGCAGCCGGGGACCTATGAAAGTTCCCTGCACAAAGGGGCACTTGAGCTGAGACCTGAAAGAAACCAGCGCTACCGAGAGTCCCAGGGGAAGGAGGAAGAGGGTTCTAGGCCTGAGTCACAGCCAGTACAAAGATGCTGGCTTTAGATGGAGTATTGGGTATGAGGAACAGCAAGAAGGTCCATCATAGCTGGAAAGTATATAGTGTGTGGAGGAGAGTGATATGTATAGCAAAGTAGAAGGGGGAGAGGGTGTCCAGGTAGTAAAGGGATTCAGTATCAAAGGAGTATCATGTTTAATCTTGAGACATTAGTTTAGCAGATACTGGTTTATGGAGTAGGCCATACTTCTGCTTTAGGAAAAATCATGTTGGTAGCTGTGTATGTAATGGTGTATTTTTGAATGCCATAGTGAAAAGAACAAGATTGGGGTCTACCTACTAGGGATTTGGCTCCTGGCCTCACTTCTTACAACATTTGTGGGCCCTAATAGATGTAGTGATTTTTCCCTGTGGCCACTTCTGCAAATAGAGAAGTCTCGAAACCATTTACTTGAAAGTCTTCTTGCTCTAAAGTTTATTATGGCCCTTTAGACTTCTGTAAGAGTCAGATTTTTGTTGATTTTAGACAGCAAGAAACTTATTTAATGAAAAGATAAATTAAAAAAAATTAAGCTATATAACTCCTTTCTAACTTTCATATCTAGATTCTACATGGGAATTTCTCAGACTGATCCTTGACCTTTCAATGAAAGTTTTGAAACATGATGGAAAATACTTTACCCAGGTATGCTTCTTTGTTTTATTCTCCCTTCACTCCATGAGGTTAGAATCTAGTGTATTTAAGAAATAATTGTAGTATATAATTGTGAAATAGTCCTGGAAATTAGAGACAGAAAAAATTAATTTTCTCTTTTATGTGATAGAACAGTAGCGTGTCTGTGCATGTCAACTCTGTCCGATCCACAGTTTCGTGAGAGTTAGCGCTCTTGTTTTTTAAGGTTATGCTGTTTTATCATTTTTGGTGGTCTTTTATTACAGTTTGATGATGATGGTGGTGATAGCTAACATATATCACTTACTATGTGCCAAACTCTGTAGTAAGCACTTTACCATTATTTATAATTCTTATCTCATTTGTACTTCAAAACAACCCTGGGAGGCAGGTGCTATTATTATCCCTATTTTACAAATGAAAAAACTGAGACAAACAGAGGATCATACAGCTAGGAAGTGTTAGAGACTGAATTTGAACCCAGGCCCTGTGTTCTGTCCACTGAACCCCTAAGGCAGCCAGACAATACAGTGGATAGAGAGTAGGACTTACAGCCAGGAAGATGTGAGTTTGAATCCCCTCTCAGATATTCTCTAGCTAGGATAACACCTAGGCAAGCCAGTCAACATTTCTGGGCCTCAGTTTCCTTGTCTGTCAAAGGGGGTAGGGAGGGATAATAGCACCTGTCTCGAAGTTTTGTTTTGTTTGTTTGCTTTTTTTTTTTTTTTTGCACCTAAAGCAGGTAAGTTGTTAATAAGGAATCCAGTGAGTTAGCACTTTGCAAACCTTACAGAGCTCTCTATATAAATGCTAGCTCTTTTTGTTTTATTTTTTGATCAGCATTTCATTATCAATTACCAATATTTCATCCAGTCATTACATAAAAAATTTATTAAGCCCTGTAACTATGTGCTAAGCACTGTGACTGTTATTTAATTCTACTTTCCTCTCATGTCATTGAAACCTAGTTTGACTTGGAAGGCTTGTTGCTCTTCCTGTTATAGGATTTAGAAAAATTAAAAAACAGAGGGGATTGGTGAGGGAATATGTTGACAGAAAAAAATAATCTGGGCAAATAGATATTTTGTGGCACTGGAGATTTTCAAAAATTGTCTGCAAGATTGCGTAACCTTCACAAACAAGAAAATTTCCAAATGAATTAAGTACCTACATTTTTCTAGGCCCTATAGATATGAGGAACTTTCATTATACTCACAGGGGTTACAACATTTACACAGAGAAGGAGAGCTAGGGCCTGGCCTTGTGATTTCATTGGTAGGGACTCGCCCTACCCATGGAGGTAGGCATCTTCTCTGTCATGTATAATCAAGAGTTGCCTAGAGCACTATGAAATTTAGTAATACTGCCAGGGTCACATAGAACAGTTTTCTGCATTGTTTAACAGTAGTGATACAGAATACTTCCCAAAGTGACATTGAACAGGAAAGCTGAGCCTTGGCTGCAGTATGCTCTTGTACCACCAGATGGAGAACAAGGATCATGATTTTTCTCTAGGAAACTCCTTTTCATCATTAGAAGTACTGTAGGTTGTACTCTGCCCATGCACAGTTGACAAAAATCTAAAAAAGAATTCTTCTGGAAATGCTGAGTTAAAGTTGATGCAATTGATGATTTAATCCCCTATTTGCAAACCTAAAAAATGAAGTATTTACTTGTCTGGAAAGGAGAAAATAACCTCACCTTCGAATTGTCTACACCGAAGAACCTTAGTACGAGAGAATTACCTTGCTGTTCCTTTTTTTAAGGGCTGGTTTTGATGAACAGGTGCAGGGTTTGATATTGTTTATTCTCAAGAAAGTACTGACTTTGAGCAAACTCATTTTCAGTTTTTATATAATTATAAAGTCATATGGTAAGGGGTTTGAATGGGGCTGGAAGAGACCTTTAGTTGGTGACTGTCTCAATAATGTCAAGTCTGCCTTAAAAATACCCAGGGATATAGGAAATTTTGAAGGTTTTCATTGGAAAAATGAATGTTCGTGCCATCTACCAAAAAACCCAGCAAGTGTATGCTTGCTGTATTTGTCAAAAATATATTTTAAGGATATTTCTTAAGTCAGTTCCAAATTGAGAAAAGGAAAAAAAAAAGATTATTTGCTCCATACTCTGTTTCTGTAGAGGAAAGGAGAAAAAGTGACCAAAAGTAAATATTAAGTCATTCATTATGAAAATTCCATAAATGACTAGATTTTATTAGACCTTCATTCGTCAAGGGACAACCTGAGAATTTAAATTCTACATCCACGTCTGGAGGATGCCACCATTTAAAACAGTGGAATAGCAAACTGGGGCTGCTGTACTGCTAGGAGAATGGATGAGGTTATGTTTAGAAAGAAACCAACCCAGGATGAACAAAAATGCAAGCGCTGTAATGATACAAACAAAGCAGAGTGACTTGCAGAATATTTCCTCCAGAAGATTTAGCACCTGGCTCTCTTCACATGGAGGAGCAAGTAAGTCCAAGAGCCCTAGGAATGCCAGTCTCTGCAGAACTGCTGATCCTGCTGCCAGGCCAGTCCATGCAGTTATTTGGGGAAGCAGTTACTGTGGAGAATGGGGCCAGCATCCCCAACAGCTGCTGCGCACAGGGCAGATAGGGCCAGCCTGGATTAATGGCTTGTGGCAGGTGATTCAGTCTCAACCACTTCCTCCTCTCAGACCACAGGGGAGATAGCCAAGGATCTTGGACTCCCAACAGCTAGGATTTGAATCCCCGGAGTCTCGGGAATAGTAGCGTTCCCTTAGCCCCCTCATATTACTGTCCTTGAAAGGAGTAAAAACCCCGTTTCGTGTGTTGAGGTTATCTTCATCACAATCACCACCAGGCACTAGCTAATTGCTATTGATGCTTCCGGTCCAGCCCTCGCAGACATTGTCTTGGGAAGCAACTCTATGGAAGCTACAACTCGGCCACTGTTTGGTCCCCACATCGTCAACTGTTGTAGCTACTGAAGACGCAGAAAAGAAAGTTCTTGTCATTAGAGTTTTTGGCACTATCTGTAGCTCAACATCAGAAAGAGATAAATCCTTGAAGAAGGATTTATCAGATATTAGTGTGTATTTTGGAGCAGGAAATGGCAAATCACTCTGTTATCTTTGCCAAGAAAACTCCAAATGGCATCATAAAAGAATCGGACACGACTGAACGACAACAAAGTGTGTCCTTTGGATTGGTGTAGATGAGTATTACTCATGGAGACAAAATTAGGTAACGGAAATAATTGGAGCCAAATAAAAAGCAAATGGGGGCATGAACTAGGATTGTGGTGAGTAAAAGGAGAATGTAGAGGGCAGACCATGTAAGTGTTGGAACCTAGATGTTGGGGAGGGAAGGATGTGCCCTCAACATGATTCTGTGGTTTCAGTCTCAGGTGACTGGGAGATCAGTGGTAAGTTAGGAAAGGAGACAGACTAGGTAAAGCACTCGGAGTCCTTTGGCTTTGGTATTAGGGACATTTCCGACAGTTAGAAGGGTTTCAACCGGAATGGAAACCAGATGGTAGAAGATAGAAGTGGAAATTGGATAGACGTAGGATAGCGGTGTTAATGTGGGAAAAATCTGGGAATGTTGGTGGACTGCAACTCAGTACGAACCAACCATATCACATGGAAGCCAAAAAAAATTAATGCATTGGGAGAGGTGAGGTAGGATGGATGCGGGAGGTGTGTATGTATTGTGTGTTCAAGTTACAGGCCCAGGGTGATTTGCCTAAAACTTAAACAAATTGTGAGTATTAAAGTAGGGTCTTTGGTGCAGGTCTTCTAAGTCCCATTCCCCTCCCCACCCCCACCCCCCCAGGCATATGCTGTATTGCCTTTTCTTCAAAAGAAGTAGAGACCAGTTTCTTATTTCAGACCAGTTTCTTTTTCTTGTTTCCTTACATTGTAGTTGGAGAGGTGAGGGTATTTATTAGTCCAGGACATTTTATAGTGTATTTGAGTGTGCTAAGTTCACTGATGCAATTGGAAAAAAGCTTGATGAGACTTGAGCTGAGTCTTGAAGGCAATATGATATTTGTAAAATGAACAATGGATTTGGCGTCAGGATCTGGATTCAGATCCTGCTCGTGCACTTAATCCTTCTGTGGCCTTGCGTGGGTCTCTTAACATTCTCATTTGCAAAATGAGAAGGGGCTACTGAGGTCTCTTTCTGTTCTAAATGTATGATTCTATGATATTACTACTTTTATTCTGCTACCTCTCCCTCCCAGTTTGGCATGTCCCTTCTCTTATTTGCCTCAGCAATCAGAAGATGGAGAGGCTAGTCCAAACCCTCAGGAGCTTCTGGTCAGGCCCTGCCTGGTCTTGCTCCTAAAGTGGTCATGAACAGAATAGTATTAATTGTTGGACTCATTCATCCTTGGTAGGAAGTTTGATTTACCGTGAATCAAGATTTACCTTCAGTCTTGCTGTGAATTTTTCTTCGAGAAGTCATATAAAGTTATGTTTTAACATAGAATCAGGAAGTCCTAGAACTTTACTGATTTACATTCTTTTAATTCAAAAAAAATTTTTTTGGCCTTTTTTATCCCAAGGGGTATTTCATACTCCTCTCTTCCTCCCTTGAACATAGTGCTTATGTGTTCTTCTAAGTATATTTCTATCCCAAACCTGTTTGTTGGCCAAGTTTGGGAAATGCTGTCATGGGAAACTGAAGTAGTTCTGTATTTTTCTCCTTCCTGAAAATACTACTAGTGACTTTTTAAAAATTAATTATTTTTTAGTTTTCACCATTCACTTCAGTAAGATTTTTGACTTCTAAATATTCCACCCCCCCTTCCTCCCCTCCCCAAGACAGCATGCGATCTGATATAGGCTCTCCATATGTACATTCATATTAAACATTTTCACATGAGTAGTGACTTTAATTTTAATAATCAGATCTTTTTAAAAAAATTTGTTTTTATGCCAACATTATTTCCTCTCTCCACTGAATCCTTCTTTGTAATTAAAAAACAAAACAAAAACCCACAACATCTTAAGTAAAAAAGCAAAAGCAACCACATCTGACAGTGTAGGCCATATTCCACATTCAGAACCTCCCAATTTTCTACCGAGAAGAGGAAGAATATATTTCCTTACTAGTTCTCTAAGGCTAAATGTTTATTACAATTCATCATTACGTAACTGTTTTTAGTGTCTTAACAGTTAAGTATTATTCATTTTAGGTTTGTATTTTTGTTTTTTCAGTGTTCTGTATAATTCTTTTTGTCTTGGTTTAGTATGCATCATTCCATATAAGTCTTCCGATGTTTTTCTGAATTTCATCATTTCCTAAGTAATATTCTGTTATATTTATCCAACCATTTCCCCATTGATGGGTACCGATTTTTGCTGTCAATTATTTGCTCTAACAGAATGCTGCAGTGAATATTATATATAGGACCTTTCTTTCTGTCCCTGACCTTGTTGAGTTATTTGCCCAGAAGAACCCTAGATTTTCTCATGTGCTCATCCCTTCTCTATGTTGATTATTTCCCGTTTATTCTGTTTATATCTTGTTTGCACATAATTATTTACATATGGTCTTCCCCATTAGACTGTGACCTCCTTGAGAGCAGGCATTGTCTTTTACCTTTTTTTGTATCCCTTGTTCTTATTATTAGCACAGTGCCTGTCACGTGCTTATTGATTATTTTTGACTGAAACTCTATTCATAGATGATAGATGTAGAGCTGAAAGGGACCTCAGAAATAGTGTCCAGTCCCCTCATTTTCTGGGTAGGCGATTTGATTGCCCAAGGTTTCATAGATAGTTGGTGGCAGAGGTTTGATTTTTGAACTTGGATCCAAATTCATTGCCTTTTTATACTCTACCACATTTCCTTTCCTAACAGCTAGGAAAAATATAGCATTTCTTATTTTGATATAGTCCTAAGAAAAATTATTGGATTTAAAAAGAAATGTATCTTGTTTCTTTTTTTGTAGGCCTTGATTTGTGACAGTGGTTTGGGTTTTTTTAGGGTGTTTGACAATGTGAAAAAAATAGCACTAAAACTTTTCCCATTTCCTTCCTATGTGTTGCCACATTGTCACTCCAGAGGTACTCCCATGTGCCCCTTATAAAAAAATGAATTTTAAGATGACAAGGAACAGATCTTTAGAGACTAGTTTACTGTACCTTAGTTGTATTACCATTATATGACTTCCACAGTGGTGATATGTTCTAAAAATCACTCAGCAGTATCTTCTATTTGTGAATTTTAAATTACACATGTGGTGTTTGTGTACTCTCACCGTGAACTTGATGTTGAAATAAAATTATATGTTTAGCAAAGGGCAGTTGAGCCAAATACCCACTGAGGCCTTCCAGATGATAATAGGTTACTAAATAAATAGACCTTAAAAAATAACGTCATTTTGTGTGATTGGGCTAAATTAAACTGTTTCGTTTTTCTTGAGGATGAAATCTTTTCTGATCTGTCCACTGTAGCTATTTTCAAACCTATTTTAAAGACTTGAAGTATTAGGAAGACTGTGACAAGTTTATTTTTAAGTGAACTTAATCTAACAATATCTGCTTCATATTTTGTTCAGTGCCCTAATCACATAGTTATTGGAGGGCTGGCATCAAAGTGAAAGAGACTTAGTTTCAGCTCCTGATACATTTGGCTCTTGCCATTGGCAAAGGGTGTCTTGGTACTCTAGGAGCTTTTTTTTTTGTTGTTGTGTGTGAGGCAGTTGGGGTTAAGTGACTTGCTCAGGGTCACACAGCTAATGTTTCAAGTGTTTGCGATTGGCTTTGAAATCATGTCCTCCTGACTCCATGGCCAGTGCTCTGTCCACTGCGCTGCCTCGCTGCCCCCCAGGAACTTCTTAAGACTAATTTACTGAGTAGCTGCTGATCCACATTGAGAGTTCTTGTGAATAAAATAACAGGTACAGCTCTCTCCCCCGCCAAAAAAAACCAGTAACAGCAGCAGCATTGTGAGAGGGGGCAGTTCAAATATTTTGAGCTGTGTTGAAGGTCTTTTTTTTTTTTTTTTTTTTTTGGGAGGGGGATAGATCTTTTTAATAGAGAAGGTTTTTTTCCACCTGCTAATTCCTAAGAACCCAGAAGGTTATGCTGAGAAGTTAAAGTAATTGTGTCATCTAAAAAAACATTCTTTTAGACAAACTGCTTGCAACCACCTTCCAACATCTGACCCACTGAAGTGTAAACACTTAGTGATCTCAGTTTTCTTTCCCAACTCCTTGGTTGAAAGATGGAAATTTCAGTAAGACATAGAAAAGGGAAAAATAGGAATTATAACCAGTCAGGGACTTTATTTTTCTCAGTTTAAGATTGTCTCCTTAACCTAATCTACACATCTGTAACTCTCTGAATTAGCTGGCTTTTCAGTAAAAACCTTGTTTTATTTCTCTTATGAGTGATTAGATTCTATCCTGTAAATGGTAGTCACAAGTATTTATTATGCAAAATAAAGAAGATGGCACCTTAGTTCTCTTAATTCCTGGGATTCTTGATTGGTTTTCTGTAGATGTGGAATGAAGAGATGAGAATTGAGTGTTAGAGCTCCCATCTAAAAGACTTGAACATACTTAGAATATTACTATGCTTATTCAGTGCATTAATCTTCCTGAGAACCATAAAATCATGCCTGGCTTTTGTGAAACTTTTTAACTTTGAGGGAGAGAACTTCATTTCTTTTTTTTTTTTTTTTTTTTTTGAGAACTTCTTCTAAAGCAAAACTTCAGTGGGAAAAATTTCTGAAGACTATTCCATATTAGACCTAATGGAGTAAGTCTAGTTATGTTTTAGGTAAATGTCACCATTTCTTTGAACAAAAACAAGGGAATGTTTAATAATTGGTATTTTTTTTTTTTTTTTTACTACTATTATGGAGGTATTATAAAGATGTTGCGGTGTAAGTCAGAGTTTGGAAGACCTGGGTTCATGTTTTGTCTCTTGACAGGATGGTTCTGTGACCATGAATAGTCATTTAACTTCTCAGTACCCCCAGGCAATATTCTAAGGCTTGAGTTTCAATCAAATCATAGGTCTGTAGCTCCCCTCTACATCTCATAATAATGCTAATAAAATAGTCAAACCCCTGTGGTGCTAATATATTATTAATAATGCATTCACTGTGTCAGTACTGTCCAGTCACAACAAATTTTGCTTTACTTTTTTTTTTTTTTTTTTTTTTGACTAGGCAGTGGGGTTAAGTGACGTGCCCAGGGTCACGTGGCTAATAAGTGTTATGTGTCTGAGGCCAGATTTGAACTCAGGTCCTCCTGAATCCAGGGCCAGTGCTCTATCCACTGCGCCACCAAGCTGCCCTGGATTAATTATATTGTTTTACTTTTTTTTTTTCCCACAACAAATTTTGAAGGAATGTGTGTGTGTGTGTGTGTGTGTGTGTGTGTGTGTGTGTGTGTGTGTGTGTAGATATAGATGTATACTCACACAGAGTAGTAGAATCAGTCTTTGAGTTCTCAAGAAAAATTATCAAGGGAGGATTTTTTTTTTTTTTGGTATCATTAGGCTTACCATTTTGGGGTAAAATTTTAAATAAAGCTTTAAATATAATGAAGACCTCAGAGCCATCTGGTCCAACCCATAAGGCAGAATGAATTATTTTTAAAATTTAAGTGGAAGGGTGACTAATCAACTAGAACCGTAGAAGTTGAAGTAATTTTGAAGATAAGGGAAACTACTTTTACAGCACTTACCTAGTCTTGATAGCAAAATCACAATTATATATAACAAAATACAGGAAATGAATGTTATATTTGTTATTGATGCAGTGAATCTTTTACTAAAGAGAAGTTTTAGCATCTGGATTTATGTGGCTACTTTATTGTTATTTATGTTGTAAGCATTTGAGATGGATTGGTAAGTGAATTGGAAGATTATGAAGCTGACAGTTTCATTCTTTAAATGAAATCTAATGCCATTTGTAATAAAGTACTAAAGGCTTATCGCTTTTAGAAATGGAGCTTTATAATGGAATATTACTATACTATAAATGTAAAATAAGATTAAAGTAGTATGGAAAGACAATTTAATGCAAAGTAAGTAGAGACAAGAACAATATACATCGTGACTATAACAAAACAGCATCCACAAAATAATTAAAAATGAATGTTGCAAAATTACAGAGAACAAGCATGGTCTCAAGAAGAAATAAAAGAAATTCCCTTTCCTCCCTTTACTTTCTCTGGCCCCCTCCTTTGTAGAGGTGGGAGGTCCATGGGTATGGGGTACTGCATATATTTTCAGATGGTGTGCTAGGTTCTCCTCCTTCTCCTTCTACACCCCCCCCCACCCCACCCTCCATGGGCCCGTTTGGGAGCTAGGAGAGACCAGAAATCTAGGCAGTATGAAAACAAAAGATAACAATATGATTTATTTCTTTTAGATGGAACTTTAGCCTGAACATACACTTTTCTTTCTTTTTTGTCATGTCTCTTAGACTCTGTCGGTGCTTTGTGAGTAGGAACTTTTGAGTAGCATCACATCTCATTTTGTTTTTCAGGGGAACTGTATCAATTTGACTGAAGCCTTGACTCTCTATGAAGAACAACTTAGCCGGCTTTATTGTCCTGTGGAATTCTCAAAGGAAATTGTATGTGTTCCCTCATACATGGAATTGTATCCTTTTTTTTTTTGAATGGGACATAGAGTCTGTGCGGAACACTCAAGGAGCCTCATCTAATCAAGCAGCTTAGATTCAGATCAAAAACTAAGTTTTGTTTGTTTGTTTATGTACCAGAACTATCCCCTTGGTATGGGGATCTTCCAGTGAGGAAACTTCCTTTACAGAGCAAGTACTGATCTAAACTTAAGAGTCTTAGAAAGTTGCCTGGGGCACTGAGACATTAAGGATCAATGAGATAATAATTATAAAGCTCTTAGCACAGTGCCTGGCACATAGTAAGCACTAAACAAAATTTAGCTATCATCATCATCATCATTATTTATAGGAGTTTGACCAGAGTCACCCAGATAGTATATGTTAAAAGTTGGGACTTAAACCCAACTCATCCAGATTCTGAGAACATTATTTTATCCGTCACATCGCAGCTGCTTAAATTGATTCATTAGGTACCCCACATGACATTTCCACATGGCACTCTGGAAACCTATTTCAGACTTCTGGGGGATGGTGGTGAGTAGATTGTGTGACTTCATTGACATCAGGAACTCCTAAGGGAGAAAATTCCCTCTACCAATGCATGCTTGCACCTCCTTTGCCAACTGATAGTCTTATAGAATAGCCAAGAAGCCTGAGAGATTGTGTCTTAATCCCAAGGACACACAGCCAGAATGTGTCAGAGATGGACCTTGAGCTTAGCTCTTCCTAACTTCCTGAGCAGAAGCCAGTTTTCTATCCAATATACTATGTTGCTTCTCATATCTACCCTTTTAGAGCTAACTCTTTAAGACCTAGCCTCCATTAGTTATCACGTGCATGATTTTCTTTATCAAAAGGTAGATTCTACTAAGCTAAAATAGGGACCTTGGACAGTGGGAAGAACAGTGGGAAGATGCTAGTTTAGCAAGTTTGAAGGAATCAGGAGAATTATCTTCAGTGAGATAGGAAACTGGAAATGATAAATGGAAAATTATACATAATTATTACTGTCATTATTAGAATTATAAGAATAGCTAACATTTATATAGTGCCTACTATGTGCTAAGTGTTTTGCAGATGTCTCATTAGTTCCTCACAACAACCCTGGGAGGTAGGTGCTATCATTATATCCCCATTTTGCAGTTGAGGAAACTGATTGCTTACTGTTACCTAGGCTTAATTTCGAGCTGAATCTTGAAGCCTGGGGAACCAAAAAGTGTCTTGTTGACTAAATAATCTGTACATCTCCCCAAAGTTTTATTGTAATTAATAGATTTTCAATCATATAAAGGAAATGAAGTAAGAAATTTCGGGTAGTATGTAAGGTGGTCACTTTTTTTTTTAAATAGTATTTTATTTTTTCCCCAATTACATGTAAAAACAATTTTTAAATTTTTTTTTTTTTTTTTAATTTTGAGTTCCAAATTCTCTCCCTTCCTCCCAGTTGGTAAGCAATTTTAATACAGGTTATATGTGTGCAGTCATGCAAAACATTTCCATGTTAGTTATGTTGTGAAAGAAAACAGACAAAAAAAACACCCCACTGAAAAATAGAGTGAAACATAGTATGCTCATTCTGTATTCAGACTCCCATCAATTCTTTCTCTGGATGTGGATAGCAGTTTTTTCACCGTGAGTCCTTTGGAATTGCCTTGGATCATTGTATTGCTGATTTACCTTTGATCTTACTACAGTATTACTGTTACTTTATACAATGTTCTCCTGGTTTTGCTTACTTCACTTTGCTTCAGTTCATGTAAGTCTTTTCAGGTTTTTCTGAAAGCATCCTCCTTACCATTTCTTATAGTACAATAGTAGTCCATCACAAGTCATACACTTATCAGCCATTTATTATTCTCTCTTCTGTCCTCTAGTTGTTCATTTATTCCTAGCTTAATTTAATTCATAAAAATTTCTGGTTTGGTCTCATCTACACATTTGCTCATATCTCCTTTATGATTAGTGTCTATCTATTCTCTGAGTTAAGTGTTTCTTAAACATTGCCTCTGGACCCCATTATGTTCTTAAAAATTATTGAGGATTCCCTTAAACAGCTTTTCTTTATGTGGGTTATGTGTACTTATTAGAAACTAAAACTGATGATTTTAAAAAATATTCATAAATTTATTAAACAATAAATACATAAATAACATTTTTAATGAAAAATAACTTATCCAAAAGAAAAATGTATTGGGAAGAGTGGCATTGTTTGGCACATTTTGCAAATCTCTTTACTGTCTGACTTAATAAATGACAGCTGGATCTGCTTCTTCATTCACGCTGTTGAGATTTGTTGTTTTGTTCGAAGTATGTGAAGAAAATCTGGCCTCACATAGATAAGTAGTTGCAAGAGAGGGGAATCAAATAGCATCTTACTAAAGTTATCAAAATAAGTTTTAAAAAGCTCAAAAACCTCACCAGAAAGGGCCTTGGGGACTTCAAAGTGTCCAGTATTGGGCAACTGCTATTTTAGAATGTCCGGGATATTTTTACATGCCTTAGTAAGACATTAGCAAGACTTTTGGTTCAGGTTTTAAAGATATATCTTCCTGTCCCTGAATCTTAGCCCTAAAGAAAATACTATAGAAGGTGGGAGAGATAACAGAAGTGCCAGATAACAATCTAATTAGTGATATTAAAAACATTGTCACAACCTCAGTAGAATAACGCTCCACTTAACTGGAAGCTACTTTTGTATGTATTTGGGGCAGTACTTAGTGGAAAGAGTACTAGATTTAAAGTTAGGACCTGGGTTCAAATCCCAACTCTTTTGCTTAGTATCTATGGAGAGGTAATTTCTTTGGGTTTATTTCTTCTTCTGTGACAAGATCAGATTGGACAAAATGACTTCTCAATTCTTCTGGTAAATTTAACAATCTAGAACAATTATGAACTCAAAACAAACCAGAAAAACCTTCTATAGCGTTCTCTAAACCTGGAGATTAAAGCTAATGAACTTTGTGGACCATCAGGTGGTCACTCAGAGCCTTATTTAGAATTGTTAAGTAAAAGCTAAAAAATTTGGTTAGCTTGGTTACTTAGCCCACACATATCAATTGTCTATTAGGTGTCAGGCATTGATTAAAAAAAAAAGAGGACATTGGATTCGTATTGGGAGTACCTCAGTCCGTACAATGAAGGAGTTTGGACTAGATTGCCTGACATCCCTTCCAGCTCTCAGACCTATGAACTTGAGATCAAGGGAAGAGAGAATCATTAAAGAAGTCACAGAATTAGCAATATTATGGAAGAAGAAGCAGCCCCACACCTTCAGTAGCTCCTGAGGATATTGTATTTCAAGACAATGTGTTAATTTGTGGGCCTTGGTTTCCTCATCTGTTAAATATGGAGATACAACTTTATTTTCTCTAAATCTATGATTTATAATAGCCATTTCTTGATTTGGGAATTAGGTTTAACATATTATTTAAGAAGACTAGGAAATGAATAATATATTTAGAAACATCTCCATTAAATTTCTTTTAAAGAAATGCTTGAAATGAGTAAGTTTTTAGGCATTTGGAAAATTCATATATATGAGGATCATCTCATTCATTCCTTGAGTATGAGTAAACAAGACTGCTATGCCAGTTTTTGTATGTGAAGGCAGTCTAGTCCCTTACACTGTTTCTAAGTGGGAATTTTTAATGACCGCTATTGTAAAAGTGGAGCTAATTTGCTTTAGAGAGTGAGTATAGATTAGAGATCCTCAGGAAAATGAAGTTTATGAGTTATGACTGTTAATCCCATGGATTTATGTAATACCTTTCCTACTCTGAGTTTGCCTCATAATTAAATTATCCTCATTGGATGCTTCTTGTGGAATTTCTTTCTTTCCTTAGAGAATAGAATGGGAAAAAATAACTTTTTTTTTTGGTTTAGGAAAAAATGTTGAATTGGTGGTTAAATAAATCTCTCCAGACTGATTGTGCATTAAGGAAGTACAATCCCCTGGAAAGATTAGAGCCCAAATTTGTTTTCTTTATTATCTAGATCACACACACATGATGTGTGTGAACTCATTTCTTGATTAGATGGCCCTGCTTTAGGGATATGTGGCCAGTAGCCCCAGCAATAATAGCAGTAAAATCTGAAATACACCAATAACAAATCGATACAAAGTCTAAAACAAAGCTTACCACTCTCCCCATATAAATGGCAGCTCCTCCTCTGGCTCCAAGTAGCTCAACCTGTACTTGAATAGAAATTCCTGAGGAATTTTCCTCCGAAGATGATCTAATACCTCTGAAAATCCAGTGACGGGGAACTGCCTCCTTTCTAAAGGCAGCAGCCCATTCTACTTTGGGGTGTATCAAATAGTTAGAAAGTTTTTCTCATAGCATCTAAATTTTCCAGTTTCTAGTGACTATTGACCATCATTTTATGTTTCTCCCCTTCCTCTTGCCTTTGGCAGGTGTGCAGTTTAAATGATGGTAAACATGGGAAATTGCAAAAACTGAATTTAACATTTCTCCCAAGTGTCATAATTATATGAATTTTCCAAAACATTCTGAATCTCTTTCACCAGAAGCTACTAAAAAACATTACAGAACGAGATACATTTTTGGAAATCACTAGTGCATTATTTTGTTTGACTATGTATAATTGTTATTATTTTCCATTTATTTTTCTTATTTTTCTTTTTGTTGATAATAGGGTGGGGGGAAGGAAAAGAAATAAAACATTAGCATCATTTGATGAAATGGAGAGTCCCTTAGGCAGTCTCCAACTCAATTTATATAACATAGTCCCTCATTCATGCCTTTTTCATTTCATAGATAGTATCATAAAGTGGTCTAATCATTTTTAGTTTTCATCCAGACTCTGGTATGTGTGAGGTATTAACTGGTACTTAAATTTTTTTCTTTGAATGACATCTGTTTGTGTTCCTTGACCTTCTTTCCCCTCCTCTCAGGTGGGTGTTTTACACTGTTTGGAAGAAAACTGAATTTTGAAGATTATTCTTGCCTGCATATTGCCATCTTGAACCTTTTAAATTATATGCTCTAGATGATCCTGAAATTAGTCATTCTATTGATTGTGAATTCCTTAAAAAGTTTTTTTATTATTATTTTAATTTAAAAAGCAAATGGAAAATGTATATTTTGATGAGCTCTAGGGTGTTATTTTTTGAAAGTCAACTTAAAGATGAATTGGCAGCGCTGCTGCTGAATGCACTGAACCTTTTAGAATGTGATCCTTGTATTTCTCTGTTAATGTAGGCTTTTATGATAGAGCTTCATGAGAGTGTGTGTGTGTGTGTGTGTGTGTGTGTGTGTGTGTGTGTGTGTGTATGAGGGAAAGAACGAGAGAGGGAGTGAATGAAAATGAATGGATGTGTGGAGTATAACAGTTTTATTTTTTGTTTCTTTTTTTTAAGTTTCATTCTTTTAAAATTTCATTGTTAAGGGATATTTGAAAATATATATTTTTTTCCTTTTACAAAAGTTGATTCTGTTTAAGAAATTGGGTTAAAGGAAACTTTAAAGTGAATAACAGTGCTTCCATTATAAAAAATAATTTTTTGTGTGTTTTTTAAAAACTTACTCTCAATACTCTAGTTCCATAAAACAAATTCTTACACTGATGTAATTGTAGTTCTGTTTTTTATGTATGTATGTGTATATATGTATGTACATATACATATACAGTTTCATTAACCAACTTGTACAATAGACATCTTTCCCTTATCTTGTCTTCCCTCCTCCTCCATCCCCCCAATCCATTACACATGCAAATTTGTTTCTCTCGTGACCTTGAACTCTGACGGTAGGTTAGTAAATCTAATTTTGGTAGCATGACATTGAAAGTCAAAGCATGCTCCCATATCGCATGTCACACTCATGTGAGACATTGAAATAAGGCACTCTTTGGATAGCTCGCTATTCCAGGAATTTACAGGAGTATATTTGTTTCAGAGAGTAGTAGTAACTTAGATTTATACATAAGAGAACTAAGCAGCCAAAAGCTTAGTACTTCTCACCTTATTAAGGGGGGTGGGCTGGTAGATCTTAAGAAGCATAGGTATCAGTTTTCCAAGTTCAGCAGTTCACATAGGTTACAGTACATATCTGATCGTTATATTTGTTGAAGTTTCAAGTATTTCAAAATTAAGATTTGAGATTTCAAATTCAAGATTTCTCCCCTTGGCCATTTCTTACCTATATCTTTGTGGAAAGTTATTTCAATTTGCTGATTGAATCAGTTCATTTATGGTAACTTTGCTGTAAGCAGACCATTGTAAACGAGATATCCTGTACCACTTCTAAGGAGGAAAAAAGATAATTTTTTTATAATGCTTAAGGGTGAAATTTTTTTAAAGCAAGCAAGCACTCTTCTTCCCAAATTTTATTCTGCATTTCAGAAGAAACAAATACTCTTTAAAAAGGAAGGTATTTTAACTACTTGGTTTATTGGGATGGGAGGGAAGAGAAGAGATTAATGGATCCCCTTATTAAGTTTATAGGATAAAACATGATGTTGTACTGACCTGTCTTTAACCAAGAAATTTTTTTTGTGTTAGATATGTAGTAAAATTTGTCTTTGACAGCCTTTGTAAAATGGACGAGCTTGTCTTTGAGGATGCTTGCAGAGCAAAGGCTGGGTATAATGTTCATAGATAGGTTTATATGTGAACATTATAGAATATACACACATACAAATTATACACACATAATGTATAATGGTGCTGTTAATGTTCAAATACCATATGAGTTGAACAACGAGAGGGAGCATTTTACTTCATTGAAAAACTCACCACCACCGAAAAGCAATTTGAAATCATGTGCTTTCCTTCGTGGTGCTGGGGATATGGTGTGACGAGCATCTAGGCATAACTTGAACTTTGAACTTGACGATCAGATCAACTTGTGGGCTGAAGCAGGATATCCAGCTATCAGTCTGGGGGCACAGGTCCTGCTACAAAAACACCAACTTAGAAATGTGGGTGGTAGGTTTGTACATTCAGGTCCCTGGAAAGGTACATTCAGAGCAAAGGTATATGGGGTGGGTGTGTAGGGGGAATAAGGGGAGGGTTTGGGAGAGGGGGAGGGAGAGGGAAAATATGTTGTGTGAAACTAATAATGCACACAACCTCTATAATTTTCTTATTGTCATTATTTGCGTGGAGAAAGAGTGACCTTTGTGGTTTTGAAAATATTTTGTAGTTACTTTAAAAAGATAGCATGCAAATAATGAATACTGGTGACTTTATTTGCTATTGCTGAAGAGATTCTGAAGAAATGTTTAAAGAGTGAAGCACTGTCATTTAAGATTTATTTTTAATGCTGTAGTGTAGAATTTAAAGCTCAGTTCCCTCTGTACAGTGAGCTTTTGAATGGAACATACTATATGTAGCGCAATATACAGACTTTTTTTTTTTACAATAAAAGGCAAATGTGGACATAGTTATGAGCTCAATTCCACATCTAACAACAAGTACAAAGAAATGATTTGTGTTTATTTGTATTCTTTGCACCAAATGCTGCTTCCACCTAGAAATGTGATTAAGTATTTAAAAAAAACAAACAAACTTGATAGTGATTTGACTGTGCTCAAGAAAGACTGCTAGCAATGTTTTGGCTGCCGTAGTGCAGTGCATATGTTAAATAAAGGTATGCTATGACCACTTGGGCAGTTGCCGTATTCTTTTGGGTCCATTCTACTTTTCCAAAGTTGTGCAGTGGTTTGGGTTTGCCACCGCCCAACTTGGTTTGTTACCTCTTTATTTTGATCTGAAACCCGCCATCCCCCCTTTTTTTTTCACCTGGGGCAAAGCAGTTTTTGATTTTGTGGTAGAGAATGGGAATTGACCTTTCTCCCAAGTTTGCCCCTTCTCCAACTCCAAGCCCTGAAGCAGGGTGGGCCAGAGAGGTAATAGAGGGTATGGATTCAGAGTCGTGATTGCACCTTTGAGCAAAGCCTTTTGTGCTCTGCTTTACCCCCTTCTCCAAAAGTAGCAACTATTCAATAAAAGGATAGTATACTCCCCTCTGTACTTTGCTTATAAAATGACTATTCATGTGGAGAGGTGGGTAACTTAGTGGGAGCTTGCTTTCAGAAAAGCAAAGGGGATAATGAATTGATAAGATAGCTTAGGAGTCAGAAGTCCCAACTTTTTAGTCTCAGTTTTTATTCAGTGGCCATGAGGCAACTCTCATTTTGTTTTTATCATCTCCCTTCACTACCCTCAAACACAGGAAAGCCTTGCCCTAAAGAGATTACGGGTTCTGTTTTTAAGGGGTTTATTGTTCTTGAGGTTAGCAAGTAAGTGTATATGTTACCTTGATGGTCAGACTATTCCAAAGAAGATTGGAGCAAGGGTAGGGAACAGACCCTCTAGGCCACACATTCCCCACCCCTGGATTGGGGGGACCTTATTGGAAGCCCTGGACTTGAGTGGTAGTTAATGTCAGTGCTGATTTGGAGTTGTGAGGAAGTCAGATCTCAGTTACATGATTGATCCAATCTTAACTCCCATTGTGCTTTGTCCGTCTTTTGTTCTTTTATTATGGGGGTGGGGGGGGTGAGGCAATTGAGGTTAAGTGACTTGCCCAGAGTCACAGAGTTAGTGAGTGTTATGTGTCTGGGGCCAAATTTGAACTCAGGTCCTCCTGACTCCAGGGCTGTTGGTCTATCCACTGCACCACCTAACTGCCCCTGCTTTGTTCATATTTTTAAAACATGTGATTTCATTGGTATATAAAGCTCCCAGGTGAGGCAACTCCCTTTACCAATGTAGAGGGAGTTGCAATTTTCAGTTGTATAGACCATAGGTGACAAATCCCTCAGCTCCAAGTGGCCCATAGCACTCCAGAGTGTAGCCTGAACCAGATTAAAATGTAATTGGGAAATAATAAAAAAAAAAAAAAAAAAAAAAAAAAAACATGGGGTTTTTGAAAATCAATTCCCCCCCCCCCCCCCCCCCCCCCGGATCTTTATGCAAGGTGTAGTAGCCCCCATTTCTATTTGAATTTGTTTGGAAGACAACATGAAAAGATGCAAAAGACTCAGCCAGGAATAATGGATTGGGCACACCTGAGTTTAGTCTCATGGGGAAACCCTGAACCTTTATAGAATCGATGAGTTCCAGCCTTTCCTTTTGGGAAAAGATGAAGAAAGTGGTTCAGAGACATTTTCTCAGCTTCCCTTGGGAAGTGTTGGGATCATATTTCAAGCTGAAGTCTTAAAGATTATTGGCCATCAGTCAACAAGTATTAAGTACCTAATATGTGTCAGGCACCTAGCTAACCTTGGGATACAAAGATGAGAGCAAACAGTCCTTGCCTTCAAGGAGTTTATGTTTGAATAGTGGAAAATATGTTTACATGTATACATATATGTATATATACTTAAACATATAACAATGGCTATTTTATACAATACAGTAATTCATATAGAATTTATATTTGTATAAATATAGGGCAGCTAAGTGGTGCAGTGGATTGAGCACTGGCCCTGGAGTCAGGAAGACCTCAGGTCAAATACTGCCTCAGACACTTCTTAGCTATGTGACCCTGATCAAGTCACTGAACTCTGTTTGCCTCAGTTTCTCATCTCTAAAATGAACCGGAGAAGGAGATGGCAAACCACTCCAGTATTTTTGCCCTGAAAACCCCAAAAATGGTTCATGAAGAGCCAATCACTACTGAAAACAAGTGAACAACATAAAATATATGTGTGGGTGTGGGTGTGTATACCAACTTGAGGCCACATGTATTTTTCTAGGTGCTTGGGTACAGCCTTTTGGCTGAGTCCAAGTTTTGCAGAACAAATCTTTTTATTAAAGAAATTTGTTCTGTGAAATTTGGATTCAGTCAAATGCCTGCACTTGAGGACCTAGAGGGCCACAGATTCCACACCGCTTCTATGGACAAAATAGCTAGTTTTGGGAGGGAGGGCAGTAGCAGCAGCTCAGTGGGATGTCAGGCTTTTTGTTCTACCATACGTGAAAAGGTGAATCAAAATTCAGTCACTAAGAACTATACATTTTATGGATCAATATGTAAAAACATGATATGTGAATGTGTGTATGTATGTACACATGTATGTGTATGTTTATGTATTTCCTATTTGGCTGTACTCCAGTTTTATCATGCCCTCTGCCAGACTATATCAACTATGAAACTCATACATCCTCAGTAACTCCTGCCCCTGGGACCCCTCCGTCCTAGTTGGAGAGGATGGAGAGACAGTGGAGAACACTTTCCATATCCTCCATTTAAGGTGCGTTTGCAGGCCAGTGATCACTTGGCCTTTACTTCTGTGGACATCTTACCCTCAAACTGGATACCCTTCGCCTTCCTCTTTTAGGCTTCATTTTATGTATTGTCTTTTCCCATTAGAATGTAGAATTAGGCTGTCATTTGTCTATCTTTGTGTCCCCAATATACCACGGGGTACAGCCACTAGGTGGCACAGCAGATAGAGTGAGGGGACTGAAGCCAGGAAGACTTCTCTTCCCAGTTAAAAAATGGCCTTAGACACTTACTAGCTATGTGACCCTGGGCAAAACCCTGTTTATCTTAGTTTCCTCATCTATAAAATGAACTGAAGAAGGAAATGGCCAATCACTCCAGTATCTTTGCAAAGTAAACCCCAAAATGGGGTCATGAAGAGAACTGGCCCAGAGTTAGCGCTGATGTTTATTGGCTAATTAAATAGTTTCTGTGATGAGGAACGTTCCCTTTTGTACGTTGTGTTTTGTTGTTTTGTATTCATGTCTACAAGCAGCCAAGACTCTTTTAAGTTTAGAACTGTGGCAGGTTGGGGGTGGGGGGATGCAGAGTGGTTCTGAAGCACTTCATTTGGATTCTTTTGGTGAGACAAGAGAATGTAATGTGTGGAGATGGGTTACATACTTATCGATGTTTAATCTCATGGACATTCAGAACAAGTTTAGGCCTTTGAGATTATTTAGTCCAAACTGTCTCATTTACAGATAAAGAAACTGAGGCCTTGATCAAGTCCAACAGCTTATCTAGAGTGACACTGGATTATTTATCATTGTCTTTTCTATGCATGTTCTATACATAAATTCTTGAAACAAGGTGAACCATGATATAAAATAACCTTTTTTTTGGGAGAAGGGATAAAGTGAGTTTTTTTAAAGGCCTAAAATGGAAATTCCGGAAGGTGGGTGGAAGAATATATTCACAGAATAGCTGTATATTTTCCAGAGTTTTTTTTTTTCTTCGTCATTTTAGATAGAAATGTTTAAGGAAAACAGCAGGGAAGGACTGCCAGGAACATAGCAATTTGGTTTACCAGGATCATTATATTTAGTACTCTAATGTCTAGCTTTTGGGGTAGGGATGGGGGGATGTTGACTTTAAGGAAAGTAAACATTTGGTCCTGATTATACCATGTTATGGTGGTGGTTGTTAGTAGGTTGTGCCATGTGACCAATGAAGAAAGAATTGTGCAGAAGTGGCCTGAAGGTTATCTCAAACAGGTTCTCACTACAGCAGGGCTGTCCTTCTCCCTAAACAATTCCTTATCCTACTGAGCACAGAAGCTAATCCAAAACTTTTCTTCTCTCAATCTTCCCAGGTCATTCCCTTCCCTCACCTTCTCTGCTGAGGCATTTAACCTCATATTTCATAGAAAATCTTGAGACCATTCCTGGAGAACTCCCGTTTTTCTCTCCTTCATCTCATTCATATCATGTCATCATCACCATCTCCTTTACTAGTATCTGAGTATGTTCTGCTTGCCAAGGCCAACCCTACTACATGTACCCTTGAATGCTTTCCCTCTCAGCCTCCCCAAAAGCTTGCCGCTAATATGTTTTTGTTTTGTAGTACATACGCATACACTTTTTATTTTTCAAGTACCAAGCATTTTTATTAAGAATGTTTATTTTTTCCTTAGTTTCATGTAAAAACAATTTTTAACATTTGTTTATAATTTTTGAGTCCCAAATTCTCTCCCTCCCTCCCCTCTCCTTGAGAAGCCAAGCACTTTGATATAGATTATATATGTGCAGTCATGCAGAATGTTTCCACATATGCTATGTTGCAAAA